CCCACTTCTTAAATCTGGCATTCTATATTCATGCAAATAATTGCTACTTTCCTTCTCCAGCCCCAAAAGAATGTTGAACAATTAAAGCCTTAGATTCAACCTAACAAACAAAAAAAATCAGATTTTCATTTGACTTCAGATACTCACCATACAAAAATAAAATTGACACATAATCATATTAGTCACGTCATTCAACAACATACAAATGTATACAAGATCTATAACTCATGAATGCATAATGATTCCATTGACATATGAATTTTCATAGCAACCACACGTTTTAACTGAACCATTATTTATCACATAATCACAGAAACAAAATTTGGTTTTAAAAGTGCTGCATTGCAAGTTGATGTCCTTCAGAAACATAATAGACATTCGAAACTTTACTCAATACCTCTACAGCTACATTAGCATCCACGCACAACAACATTAATTTCCAAAAGCTACAACATCTTTGATCTTCATCCAGCCAAAATCCCGGTTATCCACGAGTTCAAAGTTCAACCAAACAGTCTTAAATCCCAAACATTAATTCAAACAGCATGACATATACATCTATCACCACAAAGTAAAATCATCACTGAAATCCAAAACATCTCATCCATAAACCACAAACATCACACAAAAGCCCAAACTTTTAACCCCAAAAACCCCCTATTGGGAATGATTTCAGCTCAAATAAATCAACCCATCTCAGTTTTTCCACCCATCAGTCAGATAAATCCAAAGACTTGTGCAAACATAGCAAGCACAAAAATCCCAGAAAATAAAAATACAAAAACAAGAACACCCACATACAGATTCACACCAATCGATACACTGCAATCGCAAAAACATCAAAACAATCAGAATCAAAAGCAAATTTACGGCATACCCAAATGGCAATACATTATAAAGTAATGAACTTTATCGAACAAACACGTAGCCTTTGATAAAAAGCTCATGAATTCGAGAACCCAATTGGATTCTTCCGCTGAATAATACAGAAAAATTGAAGAAAGATGGGGGATTTAACTAAATGGGGTTTGTTTCATGGAAGAGAGGCTACCAAAAAACTTGACGGTGGGTGACTTAGGTGGGTCTGAATGTGTAGAGAGAGAGGAGAGGTAGAGAGAGAGAGGTATCCGCATGGGAAAGAAGGGGTAAGCGAAGAGTTCTGGTGTGTACGATATCACAACGGGTGACGTGGAGTGAACTTATTGGTGGAGCAGAGGCCTTATCGTGGACTTTGAGTATTGTATCGTAGCTTTCTTCAAAGTATGAAGAAATATTTTATTATGACTGAAACACGGATGACACAGCACATGTTTTTATGTAATTGTTGTGAAATTTTATTTTTTAAGTTATTAACTTTTTAACACACATATTTCATCATTTATATAATTATACGTGATATACTATCTCATGTGTTGATCACAGTAAAAAATCTCTCCAAGGTACAGTGTGTTTCTAGATTGTGTCGCAGGTGCCAGGTCAGCAAAAATGGAAATATAATGAACTCTTATTTCTTTTCTTTTTTGGCAAAAGTTATAATGAACTGTATATCATCTCGTTTTTTTTTTTTTACATAATATTTCATGAAGGAGAAGAAAGATCGTGGTGAAGCACAACCTTCTTATGTTCGCGTTGGATGTTGGAGTGAGTTTTGTAAAAGAACGATCGTCGATGAAGGTTATCTAGTTGTATTGGTTATTTGTGTGGACGAAAATACCCATAGGAGTTATATTTATGTTTTTCTCAAAGGTGCAGTGTTTATTTATTTGAGGGGTTTTTTAGTCTTATTATTTTTGGTGAAACCTTGAGACATCAAATGTAATTTTGGCATTCCATTAGTAGAGATAATGTTAGCACGAGAATTGTAATAAAGTAACATAGATTACATGAAAATCCAACTTTTGAGGGAGTTCTCTTAACATTTATCGTTTTCTTATAACAGTAAAGTGAGTAAAGTCATGATGATGTTAAACATCTTATTGATTATTGTTAAATGAGTTTAGTTTAATCTATTTATAACAAACATCTCGAAATTTAAATAATTTAGAGATGACTAATAGTGTGTAAGCAAAAATATTCAACAAAAATGAGCAATGGTCACCCACTATTACAGTCTGATGGTATTTCTCTTCATTTGAAAATTAAAGGTTTTAGGTTCGAATTTCGTGGATGGTGAATTTATAACAAATTAAGTTACTAATTATGTGTAACTCTTTCTCTCATTAATGTAAAAATATATTGATATATTGATTACTAAAAGATTTTTTGGGCTAAGCATATTTATTCGTAATTATCGGAAAGATTTTTTAATAGACTCCCAATTTTAAACTAGTGTATTTTAACAAACCAAAAAAAGTCATGCGGATTTCTCTTCGATAAATGGGATGTTTCTTCATCCTTGATTCTTTAATAGTGTCGTTTTTGTTTGGAAAGTGATTTTATACGGATGGGATTCTCGCCGGATCAAGACGGCGATAATTCTGAAGATTATTTCATCATGTTTGTTCATTGTACATCATGCAATTAATTTTTGTCATATATTATTCATGTTTACTTTAAAATAATATATTTTAAAATAATTTCTAATCACACGATGGATGAAAAAACAAGATTAAAAGATTCCCGAAATCTTCACAAAGAGAATCCAGAGAGGATTTTATCTGGATTTTATACTCCCTTATTAGGGTATCTTTATTTATATATTTGAAAATGTGTGATATAAAATAATAAAGAATTATATCTAAATAGTTCCTTTATAAGATAAATATATCCTACACTGTTAATGATATTTTGTTAATATGGGATACACTTCTTTATTCATTTATGATGAACACGACATTTTTATTCAATTGATTATGGTATGGTTCAATTCAAATCCTAATTTAGAGTTCGTGTCTCTTGTATTAAAAATAAAAAAATAAATACGCACGTTTTCTAAGTGCAAAAAAAATTATGAATGCAAGTGGATAATCATTATAGTCTGGTGGTATTTCTTTTTACTTAAAAGTGAGAGATCTTATGTTCGAATCTCGTGATGACGAATTTGATACCAAATTAGGTTGCCCATTATGTATCTTAACCGAACTCCTGCGTGAATTAATCCAATTTTTTTTTTTTTAACAAAAGGAAATGTCAATACCATTTTTGTTAGGGTATATAAAAAACAACGTTATTTTCTTAAACATGTTAAGTTTAAGATTTAGTGTATAAGATTTATATTAAAAAAAAACTATCAAACAAAAGTCCTAACGACGTTCGTATAAAAACAGAAAGTGCTAAATATTGAAAAACTATCTAGCAAAAGTCCAAATGACGTTCGTATAAAACAAAAAGTTTTAGCACTTAATTTTATACTTTTTTTGACAGAGTACGGTATATGGATAAAAGAAGAACAAGTGCATACATGGGTTTTAATAAAAACTTTATCAGGATTTCAACTTGATCTAAGAAAAAATGGCATCCCGCACCATACAATTACAAGTCTAAACTTTCTTCAAATATAAGATCAGTGATAATATCAAAGATTCCCTCGAACTACTTGTCCATCCATAAAAAGACCCTACCGAGCCCAGTGGTGTGCCAACCCTGTTAGGCTCCCGTTTGGTGAAAAGACAGTCACGAGTGGGCGATTGAGCGCAGAAAATGTCTAGCATCCTCAAAATTAGATGGTGCGTTTTCAACTTTTCAATTGTAAATTAAAAAGTTGCACAGTTTCGTTATGATTTTGGTTTAATGTGGTTTGGGATTTTGCAAATGTTTGTTCAGTTTATCGTATTATTCGACCAACAATTGACATGTCGTTTTCTTTGTTACTGTTAATCAAATTAAGACAATGAGGTTAAACCTGGAATTGGATCCGCTCAGGACCTTAATGTCCGGAGTCCAAGGATCAAATCATCTGGGCTGCCGATTAGTGTTTAAAAGAAATCAGAATCATTGATTTTGTGTGGTGAGCCAAGAAAATAAGTTAATGGGAACTGTTAGATTCAATTTGTGCAGCCTAGATGAATTGATCCCTATACTCCGGACGCTAATGTTCGGAGCGGATCCAATTCCGTTAAACCTTGACATGGGTTTGTCTTCACTTGTGAGTTTTTGACATGTGCACTTATTTGTAATTGCAATAAAAATAAAGATTTAAATCTTGATAACGGATTATTTTTCTGCTTACTAACCATTTGGGAATGAAACAAAAATAAGACCCAATATATGTTAGTAAACGTAGAATACGTAGAAATGAGAATTAAACTCTAATTTAGAGTATCGTTCATTGTAAGTAAACATGAATAATTCAGATTTTGACTCCTCAATCCAACTCCCTTACCAAATTACGAATTAGTAACCAATGCCATTACATGAAGGAGGTCGCGGATTTGACTTCAGTTGGATTATTCCTTGCTCAATAACGGATCAGCAAACAATGCCACAAACAGAAGGAGGTCTCTAATCCGACTTACAAAAATACAAAAGCAGTACATGCATGCGATGAGTTATGTACCTAATTGTGGTTAGCTTATCGTTTGTTAAAAAAAAAAAAAAAAAAAAAACAAAAAACTATCGAGACCTGCAACAAAGGATGATGTAGCACAAAGAAGCCCACTTTATGTGATCAACCTAATTTAAAAAAAGTAAAACTAATAAGGAAAGTTTGAAAATTTTAAATTTTAAATATAAAAACAAAATAAAAAGTATGAATAATAACAAGAGTAACTTTTTAATATTAAAATATAATTTTTCATTATAAACCGTACGAGAAACTTTTCGTTAAAATTACTTTTTGAAAAAGACATAAATTGACTGAGATAATGTGAAAGGGCAGGTTGGCAGCCAGCAGAAATCTCTGCCTTCTTTTTTCTATCCTCACTTCTTACATTCTCTTATTATATCTTTTTCTTATCATAAAAAATATACGAAGTTGACGTAAAAAAAAAAAAAAAAAAAAAAGGCAAAATCTTACTCCGATCCCCAAAACCTCCTAGCGAATGAGACATAATTCAGAAATATTGAGCTAATAATAATAAATTAATTTATATTAATATTTGAACTACAAAGCAAATTTCTCCATCTGAATAAGAGGAGAAAAATACACACACAAAATTAAAAAAAAAAAAATAGAATTTAATATATCACCAGATGTACAACAATAATGCTCAATGTGATTTCTGAATCGGTTTTTCTGCCCCAAGAAAATTTCAGAAAATCAATCTCTTAATGCATAAGGTACGTAATTGCAAGCGCCACCATCATAAGCGTGTAAGCGATTCCCTGATCGATCGCCATGCCTGCAACAATTCGAACCCAGAAAAATTAGACAAAATTATCAGAAAAAACCCATAAAGTTATCAAATTTTTGGACCGACCCAACAAAATAAAGATTGAAAATTTGATTTTTTTTTTTTTTCAGGAAGAAATTGATGGACTTACCGTCGCTGGTGGGAGCAGGAGCTGGCGCCTGCTGGCCGTAGCCGAGGCTGAGGAGCGCCATGAACATGAACCCAATGATTGGGAGAGCGCAGGATCTGATTGAGTTCATTTTTTGACCGCTAAATATGAATTAAAAGAAAATTAGGTGAAAATAAAGGGAAATTAAGAGGGATTAGGCAAAGATCTGTGAGAAGGTGGGGTGAGGTTTTGAGAGGGGAAGGAGGCTGCGGAAACAGTTGGCGGTGCTACATTTATATACGGGGGAAGTAAGGAGGGGTGGGTTTTTTGGGACATGGGAACATGGTGGGCCGGCCAACATGTGCGGTTTCTCTGGAAAGTGGATGAAAGGGAAAATGAGTTCAAATTGCGCGTGTTTGTGCGAGACTTCTACTAATTAAGCTCTTAATTTTATGAAAATTGTTATTACCATTTCAAAAAATTTATTTTGAACTTTAAATAATTTTTTTTTTTTTTGTTAAATGTAGAAAGTTTAGAAGTTATAATGAAAATTTTAAAATGCTAATAACAATTCTTAATTTTATCATCGAGATTTTTAGCTCCTAAACGTCAATTATTGAATTTAACGACTTCAAATTATACTGTATTCTATGTATTAAATATACAACAAAGAGGGCCGTTTGAATTTCTTTTGTATACTGTATTTTTTGCTCATAGAAGTGTTTATGTAAAAAAGAACTTGATAAGTGTTTATCTAGAAAATACGTCTATGACCACAAACACTTTTAAATGTACGTGTCAGATGTCGTTAGAAGTGTATTATTGTCCAAATATAGTTTTAACCCTTCTAGTTACAATTTTAAACAGATAAAGATTTACTAGCATATGGGCACACACAAAGTGTGTAAGAAATTTTTTTATTTTTGTTTTTGAAATAGAAGGAGAGAGGAAGAGAGTGATAGAGAATGTGGGAGTGTGAAGTTTATTTATTTTATTTTATTTTATTTTAATTAGAGATATGTTAGGATTGCATGTAGGTGAGGTTTTATAAAAAAAAAAAAAGTAAAATTTGATTGTGTGAAATTATATTTCTGTCCCATATTTTTTATTCATATTCTGTTTTAATTAGAGGGTTAAACTAGTAATTTTATACGATTTTGGTTGACAATGAGTGTTATTAATTAGTAGAGATATGCATGCTGATATAATAGTGACGCACTAATATGTTATTATGTCATTGAATATGCCATGATGACATCTCATATAAATAATATGACGCCAATATTCATTCGAGTAAATAATATAATATTAATCTTTAATATCTGCACCAAGGTGTAAGAATCTCTGTGTTGTTGGTGTGCGAAAGGATCATCTCTGGATCTCTTCTCTTTAATCTATCAAATCAGGAGATTTATATCGTTGAAAATTGATCCAACTACTGAAGTTATTATAATTTTTAAAATGAACCCCTATTTGTAATCGTTGAATCAAATTTTAACAGTATAAATTCCTTAATTTGATGGATTAGAAGGAAGGGAAGGGATCCCTTCCCGTTGGTGTGAGGTTTTGTTTTGGTTTGGAAGGAAAAAGTCATACTTTGACTCCGAGTTGGCGGCTTGTTGACTCGGACCCTCATCACTCCAAAAGGCAGGTATCAAGAGAGAGAAGAAAATCCCGTTTCAAAGCAATGGATTTGCGTTTTTGGTCAGAAGCCTGTAGCCCGCCACAAAAGGCTCCCATGTGTAGGAAACTCCAGAGCAAACGCATACAAGTCCAACGTGACCAAATTGGAAGGTCAGAGCCCAACAGAAGGATTCTATGAATTAGAAATTTGGAATAGCCTTAAAACAGATGTCAGCCACTAATTACAAGTTAATTACAAGTTTTCTTCTACCACAATACAATTACGTGTCATGGAAAAGTTGTTCTTTGCGTTGAAACCATGGCTCCCACTCACACCAGCTGTACACTCGACTCAGATATGCCCATCTGTGGCTGTAGGTAGAGTCCATTGGGACCCCTGAATTCTTTGAGTGAAGGAAAATCGTGCAAAATTTGGCAATATATCTACACTTCTAGGGTGCACAAATAAGATCCTTTTCTGTCAGGATTACATGCCCGTTTGGAAATGCTTTTCTCGAAAGTACTTGATAAGTACTTTTTCGAGTTTCTGATATACGAAATCTCAGTCAAACCAGACTCAGAAGCAAAATATACAGCCTCTATCTTCTTTTCATTCTTCATTAACTCATCAATTACATGGGCACGAATCAGTAATTACCTGAATCAAATATACACAACCGAGGCAGTACTAACAAAAAGAAAATCTAGCAAGCGAGTAATGATGCGGAACAAAAAAAGAGAGAGGAAGAAAAAGAAAGATCTTTAAGATAAACAAATGAGTGGAACAAAAACCTAACCAAGAAATAATCAAATTTCTTTTCATGAATTGGGCGGGTGACAGATGCGCACTGGCATCAAATTGAAACACATTGTTATACCATGTAAAAGAAGAGGTGGGGGGAACAAGTCTCCTGGGTAAGATTAAATTTACTATCAGTCATTACCAGTTCTGAAGAGGGAGAGACAAAACTAAGGCACATATTTCTAATTTATTCAAGCCAATGTATGAAGGCAAAGAATTGCTTTCTAAATTTTATGTTCTTCTAAGTTAATTGCTTTCTAAATTTAAAATTCTTCTAAGTTATATACCTGCTAAGTCTCAGAGCTGCATCGATATAAGCTGTGGCACATATTTGCTTTCTCAAATCCTCTCCCATCTTCTCATTTTTTTCTGGAGGCAAAGAATTGCTTTGATCAACTACTTCAGCTTATGCTTCTGTCTACATCTCCTTCTCATGGCTTACCACTCATTCTCTTTTCTTACTTCTGCTGGGTCAAAACATACCAAGACTCTGGTAGCCAACTATCTGAATTTAATGTCTCCATTGCATCATCTCCAACTATGAAAGCATGCGCCTGGTCCTGAACCTGAAGCCAACTGATAGCACAGTCCTTCTTCACTTTCCTTGATTTCATCAGTTCCCTCACCCTGTTTACCTCTTCCCATCTCCCAGCTTCTGCATACATGTTTGAAAGAAGTATATAGTACCCAGAATGATCAGGCTTCAACTCAAACAGATGCTCTGCTGCCCAACTCGCCAACTCTAAATCCCCATGGATTCGGCATGCCCCAAGCAAAGCACCCCAAATGTTGGCATCGGGTACAATTGGCATGCCTTTAATAAGTTCTGCTGCTTCTTCCATAAGGCCAGCTCGCCCAAGGAGGTCAACCATGCAAGCATAGTGCTTTTCTGTTGGCTCAATATTTTGTGTGCGCATCTCCTCAAAGTATTTTTTTCCTTTCTCAACTAGCCCTCCATGGCTACAAGATGACAAAACTGCAATGTATGAAACTGAATCGTATTCTACACCTTCTTCCCTCATTTTTTCAAAAAGACGGATTGCAATGTTAAGCTCACCTAGCATTCCATATCCCAAAATCATTGTATTCCATGAAGCTACATCCTTTTTTGGCATGCAGTCGAATACCTTAGCAGCAAGATCAATTCGCCCACATTTGGTATAAAAATCCAAAAGCGAGTTAGCAACAAAGAGATGAGTATCAGAAATCTTTCTTACTAAAAATCCATGAATCTCTTTGCCCTGCTTGATTGCAGTTAGATTTGCGCAAGCTGATATAACTCCCATAAAGGAAACAACGTCATGCATCATTCCCTTAAGCTTCATTTCAGAAAACAAACTCAGAGATTCTGAGCAATCAGTAGTTTGAGAATAACCTACTATAAGTATATTATAAGAAATCTCATCTCTGACGGAGATGTTAAACACATTTCGAGCAAGACTTAGACAGCCACACTTTGCGTACATGTCTGTCAAAGCATTAGAGACAAACAAATCTGAGGCAGATCCCATGCGAACTGCCATTGCATGGATTTCTTTTCCAAGACGGCGGGAACCCAAACGAGCACAAGCTGGAAGAAGATTCGTGAAGGTTACAGAGTTGGGAATTTCATCATGAGCTTGCATTTGCTTCACAAGTCCAAAGGCTTCCAACTCAAGCCTGTTTTGAGAAAAATTAGCAATCATAGCATTCCAAGAAACAATATTCCTTTTATCCATCTCTTGGAACACATTCGATGCCTCATTTGGACGGCCTGATTTTGCATACATATCAATTAATGAGTTGGCAATGAAGATATCTGTTTCAATACCTGTTCTGACACTGAAACCAGTGGAGTTCTTTGCCAACTCCGAAGAATTCTAGTTCAACTAACACTGGTAGCATGCTAGAAATGGTGACAGAGTTTGGTTTAACCCCTACATCAATCATCAACCTAAATGTATTTAAGGCTTCCAAATTATGCCCCATGCAAGAGAGACTGGTAATAGATGCATTCCAAGAAACCTCATTCTTCTGAATTATCTCATCAAAAATTTGTTTTGAAGCCTTCACATTCCCACATTTCCCATACACGTCAACCAATGCATTTCCAGTAGTCACCAAAAGGTCCAAACCAACTTTCACAACATAGCTGTGAATCTGGCTCGCCATCAACTCATCTTTGAGCTCTGCACAAACTGGCAGCACACTGATAACAGTAACAACATTTGGCTTAAACCCAATTGCCGAATTCATCTCTCTATAATAATCAAGTGCCTCCATGTAGCACTCATTGACCGGAAGCACCCCAATAATTGTATTCCATGAGACAACATCCCTTTCACGCATTTCATTAAATATCCTCTTTGTATCTCTCAGATCCCCACAATTACCATAAAACAACATAAGGGTATTTCCAACGAAAACATCGTAATCAAATCCCACTTTAAAAACAACCCCATGAACCTCCATCCCTTTTTTTACCTCTAAAAGGTCTGCACATGCCTTGAGAACAAAAGGAAAAGTATAGTCATCGGGTCCAACACCGCTCCGAACCATTTGATTATAAGTCTGAAAATTATCATTAACTTGAGCAATGAAGCAAGCCCGTATGAGGGTGTTCCACAAGAAAGCAGTGTGACAATGCTGGACGGTTTGTTGGAAGAGATGGTGAAAGGTTTCTGGGGATCTGAAAGTGGCGTATCTGAGCATGAGGGAGGCACATAGAGAGACACTGTGGGGCAGTACTCCATTGAGAAGAGCAGAGGCGTGAACTTGCTTGGTTTGGCAAAGGGTTTGGACATTGGAGCTGAGCGTGAGGAGATCAAAACGAGGGTAAGTTGGTGAGGCATGTGTACAAGGCGTTGTGGTGGTAGAGAGATACAAGGTTTGGGTGGGATTTGGTTTGTAATTATATTTGCGGCATGAGAGTAGCAGAGCCAGGTGAAACTGCCTTAATGCATGGTGAAGGTGGTTTAACATTGAAAGAAGCAAGGCGTTGATGTCTTCAAAGTACGATGTTAAATGATTCCATAAGAAGAATTGTAGACTAAGTAGTTTCTCTATGATTTGGCAATGAGCAATCTTTCTCTCACTATTCTCCGTTACACTGAAATGTCAGATAACAATGTGTAAGCTACAAGCTTAGTAAGCAACTGCAGCTTCCAGTAAATATAGGTTTACTTTTCATAAAACAAATCAGAATCTGAAAGGAGAAATTAAAGCCTAAGGTTCAACCTAACAAACAAAAGACAACAAACTTTAAAATTTATCATGTCATAACCATCTAAATTCAGTTTTTTCAAATTGTCTTCAGATACGCACCGTACAAAAGTGAACTTGACGCATAGTCATATTAGTCATGTCATTCGACTAGATACAAATGGAAACTTGATCTATTAATTATAAATGCACAAAGATTTCATGACAAGTGAATTATGATAGCAACCTCACATTCTTATTAACCACTATATATCACTGAAACAAAATCTGATCACACGTGCTACATTGCAATTTCAAGTCCATTACAAACATGATAGACAAACAAAACTATACTCAATCGAACCGCAGCTATGCAAAGCAACTATGCACAAACTCCCATTAATTTCCCAAAGCTCCGACATTATTGATTATCATCAGTTGGACAGAATCCCAGTTACCCACATTACAACCGAATAGTCTTAAATCCAAATTATTGATTCGAACAGAATGACATAAACATAAATCACCACAAAATTTCATCACTGAAATCCAAAAAAGTCATGAACATAACTCAAAAAGTACAGATTTTCAACCTGAAAAACCACCTACTCAGAAACATTTCATCTCAAATAAATCAAACCCATCTCAAATTTTTCACCTATCAGTTAAATGAATCCCAAGAGCCATGCAAACACAGCAAGCACAAAAATCCCAGAAAAAAAAATACCCACAAACAGATGCACTGCAATCGCACCCAAACATCAAAAGAAAAAGGAAATTTACGGGCATACTAAAATGGCAATATACAAGAAAGTGAGGAACTTTATCGAACAATAACGTACCCTTTGATAAAAATGCATACAATTCGAGAAGCCATTTGGATTCATCAACCCATCAAAGGCGGCGGAGGGCTTCGATTTCTCGTAACGCCGACTGGTAGCCGCGGACCTCACGGTAAGGTTGACGAAGATTCGGAGGGCTCTGTACACGTCGGAGTAGGATCCGGACCCGAACATACTGTAACTTCCGATGATTTTGGGTCGGATGTGGATGCTCCAGCTCTCTACCGGTGGAGGAAGAAGAAAGGCGCGCTAGGGATTAGCGCGAACCGGTGTGGATTTCAGACACGTGCGAAAGAAACGATGAAATTGACAGTAATGCCCTTAATGAAGGCTTAGATGCTGCCACGTGTTAACTCTGAGTTTTGATCACCTCCTTCCTCGTCTTATTTAGAAATTCGAATAGCTGAATTACATTTTACCCCCTCAGGTTTAAGATCAATTTTAATTTTTTACAACATCTTTTAAACATTTCAATTTCATATATTTGCTATCATTTTATTTCAATTTCATACATCCGTTAGAAAATCTATTAAGTAAGCTGTTAAGTGATGACGTGGCAAATAAGGGGTCCCCATTTGTGTCACGTGGCTAAACACTTAATAAAAATTTTAAAATAATTAATTTAAAAAAAGCAAAAAAAAAAAAAAAAAAAAAAGCCAAAACCTAATTCGTCTTCCCCACCCAAGCACACCCCTAACCCAGAATCTCATTCCCCTACCCCTTCTTCCTACCAAAGCACACCCTCATCCAAGTTCTTCGGCCGTGCCGGCCTCATGTCCTTCATCTCCGCCGTCCCTGATTCCCAACGTCTTAGTTCATCTTTGCTAGGCTGCCGTTAAGACCGTCCTCTGCGATGGTACACTCCGGCCGATTCTCGAGCTTTTCGGCGGAGCATCTACTCCCGACGAGGCCTCCGAGACCAATGTTGATAACATTACTATCTCTACAGATATGTGGAGGCTTCGAGATCCGAGTCACAACTCTGGTTCATCTTCCCGATTCGCCAATGCCTCATCGCTGAAACGCAAGCGATCCATCGCGGTCAACGAGTCCTCCACCAAGTTACTTCAGTTCCAGCAACACGCGGATCTGGATCTTCGATTGACCCTGACCCCGTCTTTCAAACCTAAGCCCAAACCGAAGACCCGATAATTGGGAACCCTATCCATGAACTCAGATGAGTCCGGCGTCACCACGTGCTTCGAGAGTGGGTTCGAAGATCAACACCATTACTCTTACGTCGTCGGACCGGAGAGAAAGCTACTCAACTTGTTCCCCTGAGGAATTTTCCCTTCCGCCAACCACCAACTTTTTATTAGTGAATCCGACGCGGCTATATGAAATTGAAATATGGGGTATGCTCGGTGGGGAAGACGAACTGGGTTTTTTAGGTGGAAAGAGAGGTGAAAACAGTGGAGGAGGGTGAGGGAATGGGATTCTAGGTTGGGGGTGTGCTCGGGGGGGAAGGGGTGGTGAAAAAGAACTGGTTTTTGGCTTTTTTTTATTATTAATTATTTTAAAATTTTAAATTACGTGGCACAAATGTGGCAGCCACGTCAGCACAAAAGGGGACCCCTTATTTGCCACATCATCACTTAACGGTTTATTTAACAGATTTTCTAACTGATGTATGAAATTGAAATAAAATGATAGTAAATGTATGAAATTGAAATGTTTTAAAGATGTTGTAAGGAATTGAAATCGACTCCAAACCTGAGGGGGTAAAATGTAATTTACCCAATTCGAATCCTACAACCAACATGAACATAACTAACTTCGGCTTAGAAGTATTTTGTATTCCTATCATCTAATAGTGCACTACTCTGTGTTTCGGTTATACTAAAAAATTTCATCTTAAATGGTTCTCTTTTACTCTTTTAACCAAAAATTCTTTTGTGCAGTGTAAAAAGCATGCATGAAGCACATTCAGATTTATTCTTTTTCTGTTTCCTTTTAATACAGCCTTTTTGCACTTCCTAACTTTCAATTGAATCGTCCTTCTGTAAAGTTTTCAACAGAGGCAAATGATCAATTTGTAGAAAATAAAATGATAAATTATGGAGGGATACACATGAATTGGATATTTTGAAAAAAAAAGAGCAATATGGACATTAAACTAATTGATCGCGTCACACTTGGCGTTCACGGTCAAATTCGACCCTAATAAAAAGACCTAATAGCCTTCATGCACGCGCTCACGAGCATGCAAAAGGTATTTTTCGAATCACGGTGTACTACACGCGACTTACACGTTTTAAATGTATTTATATGCGTAAATTGACAAAAGAAAAGTCAAATATTTGAAGTAAATGAATAATTTTAGATCATGATAGAATAAACATCTCATAAACCAGTTAAAAACAGCTGAATTCACATAATAAAATCGGTTTTTATATAATTTACATTAATAATAGATAAAATAATATTTAATAAATAATTGATTGAATCACATTATTGCTAGCCCATTGTGAGGTAAGCCGTTAAGCCACTAAGCTCACTCCCCTCCCCCTTAGTATTGATAATATCGTTTGTTAAAAAAAAAAAAAAATCATTTGACAATTAATTTAATCACATTATTATCCATGTGCGAAAAAACCTTTTTTATAAAGAAAATAGTATTAGGGAATTGTTATTAGCACTCCAAAAATTTTATTTGACACTCCAAACTTTCTATAATTAGAAAGAAAAATACACTTGTGAGGAGTGTAGAATGAGATTTTTGGAGTGCTAATAACAGTTCCCTAATGTTTAATAAACAACTGATTGAATCACATTATTGCTAGTCTATTTTGAGGCTAAACCCACCCTATTTCTCTTAGTGTAGATAATATCGTTTGTTAAAAAAAAAATATAATAATTTAACAACTTATTTAATCACATTATTATCCGTGTGCGAAATACCTTTTTTATAACTGGCATTACATGCCTCTTAAGATGTGTTGAACACAATATTCATGATTTTCTTTATTTTATATTATATTTTTCTTTCTCCTTCACCTGAGCACCATAACTTTCACTCATCCTTCAATTTTTTTATTCTTTTCTCTATTCCCACTTATATTTATATTATATTTTAGGGTAAAGTACGAAAAACTATTTCAATTATTGGTGTCACGACACTTTCATACCTTATATTTTAAAATTGACAATGTCATACCTCATCTTACGAAATTGTGCCAATGTTATACCTTCCGTTAGCATGCCGTTAATTTGTCAGTTAAATTGTGACATCCCATATCGCCCAGGGGAGTGATCCTTATATGTATATTCTCATCCCTACCTAGCACGATGCCTTTTGGGAGCTCACTGGCTTTGGGTTCCATGGGAACTCCGAAGTTAAGCGAGTAGCGCACGAGAGCAATCCTATGATGGGTGACCCACTAGGAACTTGCTCGTGAGTTCCCAAAAACAAAACCATGAGGGTGTGCTGGGGGCCCAAAGCGGACAATATCGTGCTACGGTGGTGGAGCGGGCCTGGGAAGTGATCCGCCCCGGGCCGGGATATGATAATTTGGTATCAGAACCTAACCCTGGTCGCGTGTGTGCCGACGAGGACGTCGGGCCCCTAAAAGGAGGGTGGATTGTGACATCCCACATCGCCCAGTGGAGTGATCCTTATATGTATATTCTCATCTCTACCTAGCACGAGGCCTTTTGGGAGCTCATTGGCTTTGGGTTCCATGGGAACTTCGAAGTTAAGCGAGTAGCGCACGAGAGCAATCCTATGATGGGTGATCCATTGGGAAGTTGCTCATGAGTTCCCAAAAACAAAACCGTGAGGGTGTGCTGGGGGCCCAAAGCAGACAATATCGTGCTACAGTGGTGGAGCGGGCCCGAGAAGTGATCTGCCCGGGGCCGGGATGTGATATAAATGCTGACGTGGCTTTATCCAGACCCCACTTTCTATTAAAAATTTAATAATATATAAAAAAATAATTTAATAATTTTAAATATTAAAATAATAAATAAAAGTTAAAAAACAAAAAAAACAAAACCTTTCGTCCCTTCCACCCCCTTCCCCATTCTCTCTCTCTCTCTCTCTCTCTCTCCCCATCTTCATCTTCTTCCCTGCTTAATCATCAACCAAAAAAAAAAAAAAATAATTTGAAAACCCATCAACCACCAACCCCCCTACCCGAAGAAGAAGAAGAATAAGAAGAAAAAAAAAAACCCAGATCCTGTTCCCCAGGTCGATTCCACGGGGGGCGGGTGCGAGGTTGGGTACGGAAGGTGGATGCGAGGGGAAGACAAACTGAGATTTTTTATTTTTTTCTGGGTTGCAGGTAAGCCTGGTAAGGGCTCGGGTGGGGGAGAATAGGGGGGGTGGGCAGGATGAGGGAGAAGAGAGAAGGACACGGAGGGGAAGGGGGAAGGGATGAAGTTTTGTTTTGTTTTGTTTTTTTTTTTTTTTTTTTCTTCTTCTTCTTTTTTCTGGGTTGCAGTAGGTAGATGGAGGAGGGAGGGGGGAAATGGACAAAAGGTTTTGTTTTGTTTTGTTTTGTTTTTTTTGATTATTTTAATATTTAAAAATATTAAATGATTTTTTTTTAGTTTTTAATAATATTTTATTAATTGTTTTTAATAGAAAGTGGGCCCTGAATCAAGCCACGTCAGCATTTAACAGAGAAATTCACGCCAAGCTAACGGAAGATATAACATTGGCACAAATTCGTAAGATGAGGTATGACATTATCAATTTTAAAAGATGAGGTATGAAAGTGTTGTGACACCAATAGTTGAGGTAGTTTTTTGTACTTTACCCTATATTTTATGATGGCAAATTACCAAACTACCCTTGCATTATTTGATATATTATATTGGGCTGCTTTTGAATTATTTTGGTTCAAAGGCAATTTTGTCCTAATATTTTTGTCAAAGCCGTGTGTTGACCTTAAAAACTACCAAGCCTACATGGCGCACATGCCAAGTAATCAATAAGCTAACTATGTCATTTAGTTGTATGCGGGGCGTGCTAACTCGTCAACCGAGCTAGGCCGAGGAGTAAAATATGTTGATGTTGCGTTGAGCGTGATGTTAACTTATTAATCTTGCACATGCGGTCGAGGAAGGAACACGTCTCGCCCTTCGGTTTTAGAGCCTGAAGACAAGGCTGCTAGTTCTGCAAAGTTCAATATCAAATTCGGCTTTCAATGTGCCGAATGTAGTAACCTGTAACACCTCACTTCGCCAAGAAGGCTTATGAGATGACCTCTGCCAATAAGGATTCGAAAATTCTTCTCGACCATGACTTGGATAGATAACCAGTAGGGCTCGACGCAGTGTTGTTTATCCAAATTGAAGGTGCTCCGCAGTCGGTTGATTCTACGGCAACAGTGTTGTTTATATAAACTGAAGATGTTACCGGTTGCCTTCACAGTGCTGTTTATACAAACTGAAGATGTGTTGGCAGAAAAGAAAATAAAAATCTCAAGGTTGTTGAGAGGTTTCGCGTAAAGTGAGAGTTTGCGCAAGGCAATTTATGTGTTGAATTGGAGGGGCTTGAATGTTGTCCGTGGCTTTATATTTATAAGAACGAATTGCCTCACCCTCAAGTTGTAGCCGCATCACACGATTCTTGGAATATTACTCCAGCTAGAATAATTATCACTTAATCTTGCTGATTATCTTGTACGCGCAATTGCATTAGGATAATTGTCCCCTCATCACTCATCGGCCAACTGGAAGTCATCATATGCATCATGACAAAATTCTAAACTACATGGAACCATAGATAATCGTTATCATCACCTCCACACGTAGGCCAAAGATAGGAATCCTAATAGAACTCTTTATTTGCTGCATGCAAAATTAAAAGTCGCCACGTCATCATCCATTGCTAGTGATAATCCACGTGCATAGCAAGCCTGTAGGTCTTTGGCTAATCCCAAAAGCCATTTTGACCACATCACCATTTCAATTTCATCTTGCATGAAATTAATCCAGTAGTAAATGCATTTCATATGCCGAATATCTCCAATTAATTTGAATTGTAGGTTAGAGATATTATTTGCATCACGTTTATCTGGAACAAGAGAAAAACCAAGATAATTCACTATTAAGAAATAATCACTATGATTAAAAATCATAATATTATCTCTTAACAATAAAATTATCTTAATTTATTCATATGACGGTGTGAAGTTATGTTCATTCAACGACCTTGATTGCACGGGATGATAGTGTAAATTTGGATCCAAACATTGTGATACCAAAACTGACCTCCGACTTTATATATATAGATATAGATATAGACAATATCATTATATTAAATTTATGATTATAGAAAAATTTTGATAAGACAACTTAATCAACTGGTTGATCACGTGACATTCACAAATGGCGGACCATACAGCTGAATTCTACTGTGTATAATAACGAATCTGTTCCTAGCTCTAGATTGATCATGAAGAAAAACTTGGTGCTAAGAAAAGGACAAGTGTATCCCACGTGGCAGAATTCAAAAGGGAACGTAAGTACTAGTAGCATCTAATCTATGTGGAAGTTGGAACGAGGATTCTTTTTTGATTTTCTTTATGAGGGATTCCGAAGATCTTTTAATTATATTTGTTTATTATATATCTTGTGGTAAAAAATTATTATAAATTTTTTTATTTAGATTTAATATAAACAGTACATCATGAAAATTAACTACATGTATGATAAATGAACACAATTAAAGAATCTCAAGAATCTTGTCAATAGGATCGGAGAGGATCCTCATTCACCATGTCTCTCTCTGGTGGCCCAGTTGGAACACATAATATAAAAGTTGTTTCGGCTTTGGTGCATATCTATCGAAAAGAACTCACACGTTATATACAAGTGTATCGATAACAGACAACGACTCAAAGAGTGCAGCCGTGGCTTGCCTGGGCTCTTACACGACCTCTCATACCTTGACCATCACATACGCCTCCTCAAGAATTAAAGCATCATTTAAAAGCAAAAATTGTAGCTTTTTCTTTCCCGGGAATCATATCGAAAATCTACCTTCTTTTCATGCCAAATTAACTTGGCTTAGCCATCTTCCCCTCTTATAAATATTTTCTTATTCCTCCGTATAATTCTGTAGCCACCTCCCTTCCCACTTTCCTTTGCTCTCAATTTCTCAATCTGCTCTGAATTTTCAAAATTACCATTTTGTTTTGTAATTCAGTTTTCCGGAATTGGAGGGTAGAAATTATGTGTCACCCTTCAGGCGTGCCTAATTCGGTGAGACGGAGAGTGAGAGACTTGGCCGTGCTACAGCAGCATCGCAGGTGGCTTCTTCTGGAGGCGTATGTGGCGGTAGAGACGGCAGTGAACCTGCGTGCGGCTGCAGCTGCGGCTAGATGGGTTGGAGAGGCTGCTGCTGGAGGTGGCAGCGGTGGCGGCAATACAAGGCGGTGCTTGTGCTCGCCGACGCGGCATCCGGGGTCGTTCCGGTGTAGGCAGCACCATGCTGAGTACGCCTGGGGCGGTGGTCGGAAGTTGAGAGGAAATATGTCGAGTAATTAATTAGTCCTATTATATTAGTGCAAATCGTGTGTACAAATTAAGGAGGAAAGATGATCAAATATATGGGTGATCTGTTTTTCTCTCAACTTATGCATGAAGTAATTTGTGCATAATAATAATTCTGTCTTTTTTATTTCCCATTTCTAACGGTATATTTTTTATTGCATTCGATTGTCCTGCCATCGATGATAAAACAAATTTATATAGCGAGAATTTAATCTCAGGTGCATAAAGAAAAACTCTAGCCGCCAATGTGACTACACTTCTATTATCAAATTGAATAGAGCAGTGAGTCATTTGTCCGCGAGTTTTAAATTCTTATCTCTCAAAAGAAAATTTAAGTTTTAGTTTCGTAATACTTTGCATCGAGATTAAGCATTACCTAATCACCGAATTAGCGTTTTCCCCAAACCAATTTCTACCCCGACGTTGACAGTCTACATTATTGCATTTGTTGGTCCATACTCCAGTGTGCTTATGAAAATGACGTTGATAATTCGAGATTTTATAGCATCCACCGACGTTGGATCCTTTGTTAAAATTGACACGTTTCGACCGCAAAGTTGATTGAGGAACCAAATGTTACAGAGTAGAGTGAAACAAGTAAAAGCCTTCCCCACTGGGATTTTCATCTAATGATTTTGTTTTGCTATTCAAGCTTCGTTGATTGCATAATCAAGCACACCCTGTTCACATTCTACATGCTATCCGTGATCAATTCGAACTCGATAAGTATGCACACGGACTGCAACTGTCGGTTTTCGCCTTTAGCATCCAATTTACAGGTTATACAGCAGTAATACTCCATTGATTTCACTGCAGGAATCAAATAAGGTAGTTAATCACCAGTAAATTAAACACTCTCATGGCTATTACGACACAACATTTTCGGTTTCGAATTTTTGCTGTAGAACAAGACCGGATATTCAACTTCTTACTAGAGCCAAACTGTACGAGTTACACATCTTCTCAAACGCGGGGGATCAAACCCCGCCAGGGATGTGTCTTGTCCGTTGATCGAGATGGTCATGCGGAAGGCAATGCAACTCAAGGACATTGAGGCAGCAAAGTCTTGCAGGTGAAAATTCATGGACATTGAGGCAGAAAATTCTTGCAGGTAAAAAATTCTCATATGCAGGTCAAGGACACATCCACGGACACTAATATTTGAAAACTTCTTTCGTTAAATAGTATAAAGCAACTTTAGCCACCAGACGGCATAACTCTATCGTTGAGTTGATTGAATTTAATTTCATTATTTTCTAAAGATGCACAAGGAATTTGGCACAAAATGTAAGAGGACTCTGGCCCAAAGAAAGCAAATTCATGTCAACGTATCACCGATTCTTTGTTGATAAGGAGGGTGAACCTCAAGACCAAAAGAAACGACACATTATTATGAGGAACTGGTGTAAACCCGGCTTTTAGATGAACTATGCCTCTAAACAAATTGGGTAGAGCCAAAGGATAAGCCTCTTCAAGAAATTAAGACATTATTTGTTGGGGTAGTGCTATCCACACACCCATTTTTACTTTTCACACCCCCTTCAATTTTCGGCCGTTGGATCATGAACTGAAGAATATCAATGGCCAAAACTTAACAAGGGTCTATGGGAGGTAAAAATGGGTGTGTGAATAGCACTTTCCTATTTGTGGTTACAGAGCAAGAGGAATGAATTTTATTAATCTGTCAGGACTAACCATAGCACAGGAGGACGGAGCTTCCGAATATATGAAATTGACGTGAGAATAGGAAATGAATATGTCGCAGGGACTATAGAGATTTTTGCAGAGTTTGAGATTAGTTAAAGAAAGCAAAGAAAATCCTAACCTTAGAGTAGCAGTCTTCACGAACAACTGTTTGATTGTTTGTACCAACATATACTTCACACGACGCTCTCGCCTGATTACCATTAAAGATCACAATTAGAATAGTAGAATGAAAGATTTAACATCTAATATAACATGCACGATAAAGTGGTTAAATGTGAAGTGAAGCACAACATAATCAATGTCCACCTCAACCATCTCACCCTTATTCAATTGCAGCATTTCACACGTATCTTTTCTAAAGTGATAAACCAGTTAGCAGATATCAATAGCCACTCTATCCTTATGTGCCTATTTGTTTGTACCGATCTTTCACCTACCAAATCTCGGCTTCCTGCAACTCTACGGTTTGGATCAGAATCTTATTTCTACTAGCAGCAGCACTATATTACATACTATGCATCAATGAAAAGTACACACAATTGTTCCTCTTTCTTTTCCAACACAAAATAATTTGGGGGTAAACAAGTAGCCCTCTGCACCAATCATGAGTGCATATACGAGAACTTATCGGCACCTTTCCTCTCAACTCATTTCTAAATGATTGATCAAACTAGACGTAAATCAAATTTCAACAATGCTGGATGTCTCGACCTGCTCTGAACTTGAAAATTTGATCCTATGAACTACTAAATTACATAAAGAAGAAAACTTTACGAACCTCAAGAACAGTAAAGGCGAAATCAGTCAACCAAATGAGAAGTGAAAACAGGCACATTATGTGAACTAGTTATAACACTTCTTACACAGTTTCCCAACTCTGATAGCAAAACTCAGCATACCAAATTTCTTATAAATACAAAAAATCGAAGACTACAGAAACGGAGTGTTTGCAACTTTCTTTAAAAATTTCCCAAATAGATACAGATTCTAATACAAAATTTAATCTTTACCTCTCAATGTTTAAAACAAATATCAGACAGAACCAATTCCAGATAAAAGCTTCTACATTGAATCAGTTCGAAGTAAAAGACTCTACATTGCATCAAAAGCAAGTTTACCTTGATCGGAATCTTGAAGAACAAAAGCCCCAAACTTCCATCCACCTCCGTATCAGTATCAAAGGGAATTACCCCCTTGGCCAAATCTTCAAGCAAGTAGAACACGTCGTGGAGGACCTGGAGCCCGTCGATCACGAGCGTGGCGTTCACGTACGACGATGCTCTGGCCCTCACGCGCCCTCCGTCGGAGCTGACAACCCCTAGCTCCCTCGCGCGGTACCCCACCGTAACTTTGAGCGAGTCGTAATTCAGAGAGAAGAAGTCACGATTTCGAATTCTGATGGTGAGAGAGAAGGAGAGGTCGAGAGTGGGCTTGGGGGCCGCGTTGATTCGGACGTGGTTGAGGTTAATTCGGACGAGTTGGAGGGTGGGGTCGGAGGGGTAGAGGAAGAAGACGGCGGCGGAGAGGAGGAGGAGGGAGGTGGTAATTGAGATGCAGAGGCGGAGAGAGCGTCGGCAGCAGTAGTCGGGAGTGGGGCGGTAATGAGTTAGAACGACGACGTTTTGCTGAGGTTGAGTGTTGTAGGGGCCTGACGGGATCGGCGCGTAGAATACGTACTCGCTCTTGGAGGAGGCCATGTTTGCTGGAGCAGCTTAAAGACGCGACGACGACTTAACAGGGTTTCTTTGGCTTTTTCCCCGTTTATTTTCTACGCAAAGTATTAGGTTGTTGATTTGGTGGGCCATAGATTACGTGGCACGATCGACGCCGTCAAAGTGGACCTTAACCAATCATGAACCCAGGACCCCTCAATATTAGGCCAATTTGCACATGCGACCCAGGACATTTCTCACTTTGGTGCAATTTCCCCTCGTATAGAGAAAAAGGCTACACTGCCAATTTATCTTCTGAACTATCACTTAACTTTTGATTTCCCTCATGAATTTTTTAATTAAAAAATTAAGGATTTAAACTAATTTTATTGGCCAATTTCCCTCCTATCGTTAGTTTTTCATAAATTTCATCCAAATTAACGTTAACTCTTATTACATGCATACCACATAACTTTCTTTTGTGGACAAAAGCGTCACTTTGCTAAACTTTCAAACATACAAGCTATAGAATCACACATATTTGCATATGTTTATATTTTAAAATTTTAAGATTTTCAATTATTCTAAAAAATGAAGCGACCGAACTACCATATCATGTTGTGCACAAATTGACTTCAAAAATCAGCTCATACAAGTCACGTAATGAAATTAAATAGAATTATTCCAGTTGATACGTGTTATTTTATCGTTTTTTTGTGATAATTTCTAGGAAAAAAAAAAAAAAGAAGCTTAAGTGGTAAATGCAAAAAATGAAAAAACTAGGTGATCTTTTTGCAATATTTCTAAAACTTATTTTAGATTGGAGGTCGTAAAGTAAGATGCGGCAATAGCGTATCCCTTACTAATACAAAAACCCTAGAAAATCAGAGTTCCAGAAGGCAAAACCAAACGGCTGCCTGAAGAATTTGGCGGGTGAGAGTGAGAGAGTCGAGAGAGGGTTGGAGAAATCAATGGATAACTGAGAAGCAGATCAGAAAGTGCCAGTTTTCAAGGACATAAGGCGATATTACTGTGTATTCTGCGGGATCTGCCGCTCCAAAAAGACTCTGATCGCTTCTCACATCCTCAATCACCACAAGGTTTCCAATCCCGTCATTTTGATCAAATTATGAATTTTTACGATTTGGTTTTTTGAATTCGAGGGATTTACTGTTGTCGGTCGATTTGGTTCTTGTATTTTCATCGAAATCTGAAGTTTTGGGTTTTATTCAGATTGATTGTGTTTATTTTTATTTAGTTTTTCGCTATTTTCTTATATGCTGTAGCAGATGGATATGGCAAAAGAGGCTGGTGGGGAAGGGGAAGGAGAGAAGGAAAAATGTAATACTTGCGAAGAATGTGGTGCTACTTTCAAAAAACCTGCACATTTGAAGCAACACATGCAAAGCCACTCCCTTGAGGTATTTGATTGCTGTTGAATTCAAAGTTTCTTAGCTTTTACATGTTTTTGTATAGGAAAAGTATGTAATTGGCTTGTTATATTTGCACTGAATCCAGTTGATGATGCTCACACAGCTTAGTTTGTGATAGTTTCATATGAGTTGATGTGTCTATAGCTTTCCGTACTTTTTCGATGAAGTTTACATCATGTTTGCAACAATTTAAGATTGAAGTTTTGCAGGAATCGATATTTTTAAGAACTATCTTTTGGATAGCGTGAAGCATTGGATCCCACACAAAGCACTCCAAAATGCGAGAGGTTTTTGACTTGAATGGACCAGTATCAGGTGGGAGACCTCCTGTGAAGCTCCATCAAGCGAGCCTCAGTCACGTACCTTTCAGTTTGAGGTTTGAATGCTTGAACACGTGTAGTTTGTTTGTGGATTCGCTTTAGCTTATTCTCTTTACTTTTGTATGAAGTTTTCGTTATGTTTGCATCAGTTGAAGTTAGAAATTTTGCAGGAATCAACATTTTAATGAAGTATCCATTGGACAACGTGAAGCATTGGATCCCAATCAGGAACTCCAAAATGCGAGAGCGTTTGACTTGAATGGACCAGTAACAGGTGGGAGACCTCCTGTGAAGCTCCATCAAGCGAGCCTCAATCACGTAATATGTGATTTGAATTCATGTTCATGTGGGTTTTGGAATTGTGTTTATTGGTTCATTATTTATGTTAGCTTATTCTGTACAGAGGCCATATATTTGTTCGGTGGATGATTGCCGTTCCAGCTTCAGAAGAAAAGACCACTTAAATCGCCACCTTCTTCAGCACCAAGGGAAACTCTTTAAGTGTCCAATTGAGAACTGTAATCGTGGATTTGTTTGCCAAGGTAACATGAGCAGGCATGTTAAAGAACTTCATAGTGAGGATGGCACCTATGTTGGAAGAGGTCAGAAGCAGCATGTGTGCCAGGAAATTGGTTGTGGAAAGGTGTTTTTATTTGCTTCGAAGTTGCGGAAGCATGAGAGTTCTCATGGTAGCTTTCATTTCTAAATTTTAAATCCTTATTTATGTTTTCAGCACTATGTTAATTGCAAACAAAAAACAATATCCTTCATTTCTGTAGTTCATATGGATTCAGTGGAGGCATTCTGCTCTGAAGCAGGTTGTATGAAATATTTTACCAATGACCAATGCCTCAAGGACCATATCCTGTCCTGCCACCAACATGTTATGTGTGAGATATGTGGTTCCAAAAAGTTAAACAGGAACATCAAAAGGCATCTACTCACCCATAAAGGAGGAGTGCCTTCAGTTGAGAGAATTAAATGCAGTTACAAGGGTTGTCTTCACACATTTTCAACTGTAAGTTCCGGCCTTGGATTGGTTGCATTATTTTGGTACAGAAAATTTATTGTTTGTTATTCTGTGTTGCCATGGTTATTTTTGACTCCTTTTCGGGTTTTGGCTGGACATTTGCAGAAATCAAATCTCACTCAACATGTCAAGGCTGTACACCTTGAAGATAAACCTTTTGCCTGTAGCTTTTCGGGGTGTGGCATGAGATTTGCATACAAGCATGTGAGAGATAACCATGAGAAGACTCGATGCCATGTTTATGCCTATGTGAGTTTTGTTCTTGGAGCATTCAATACCCTTTCTATGCATGGATTTTCAGATAAGCATCTTTCCGGGAAAATGCCACATTACAAATTCATATTTGGAACATTATTTTGATTTGCAGGGGGATTTCGTAGAGGCTGACGAACAATTCCAGTCAAGGCCAAGGGGCGGCCTTAAGAGGAAGTGTCCCACCATAGAAATGCTCTTACGAAAACGGGTGACTCCACCGGATCAGTTGGGCGTAGAGCCTGAGTACCTCTCCTGGTTGCTCTTACAAGACGCGGAGGATGAGAATTGAGTCGTGGCGTTCTAGTTAAAATTACCGGACACGCATACTAACCTATGAGAGTGAAAGCTTTAGGAATTAGGAATTTCTCAAACTGGATTTGGATGTTGGATGGTGTAATGAATCTCAACAATAAATATATATAGCATTTTTGTATTTAACAAAGTCTTTGGTAAACATTCATGGTGAGGATTGCACTATGTTTTGCACTTTTTAGATTATTCACCACTGCTGTTACTGTTTGAATTCGTTCGAACAGGCGATGTATCAGAGTAGAACCTCGACATCTGAGGTTCCCTCTCCAGGGCCCCAATCACATCCTTTACAGATACACTACGTCGTGCCGCTCTTGGTTTGGGCGCGATAACTCGATCCTTTTTGTCGCCCCTTTTCTCTGCTTGTTGATTGTCCTCCATACTTCCTCCGGCTGTTGATGTAGGATTGCAGTTTACGTTGGCTGAATCATGTTGCACATATATCAACATATATTGTTATTTTTTGAGGCAATCTGATTAGTGTTATCAAGAGTATTTGTCGAGTCTTACCGACGCAACCAGTCAAGTGTTGTTAAGATATGCTTAGCAGTCATTACACCAAACATTAGGTGAGCACAAAAGAGACTATCAAACATTCGGAGGGTCCCCCGAGAACTTTCACATGCTTGTTTCCTGGTTTGTGGATGATCCTCGTCCTGGGACCACCTTGATCTCAATGTGCATCCGCCCTTATTTGCAACTCCTTTGACATTTTAAAGCTTTTCTTTCTTAGTCACAAAAAAAAAAAAAAAAAGCTCAAAGTTGAGTTGGGATTATAATAGATTTAATGTTCGGTTCCTTTCAATATAATGAAAATTTATACCATTACGTTTTTGACATGTCTAATATAAAATGGTATAAAATTTGGCATCAACTATTAACGTTTAATATGTCAAATTCAGTATTTAGTTGTGTAATTATAATTATGGTCAAGTGATTCTTGACCACCATTTAGATCAAAAGACCCCTTTAAAATATTATATTGTATTTACCTGGATATGATAATGAGAAGATCATCAAGGAGATTGACATAATTGTATTTCACATTGTTTTTAAGATTTTCCAGTGAAATAATGTGTTATGCCAGCTAATATGAAATGACTGTTTTTATGTTGTATTCAAATTTGAATTTTCTCTGTATGGAATGAGTGTTTTCATTACCACTCCTTTTGCTTCTACAATAATTAGAAGAAAAAAATGCATGGATTAGATTAAATTATTTTGGAACCTTGATAATCATGTGAATCTAAGAAAATTTGACAACGGAGTAAGGAGGATGTGACGGCACGCAACCATCCAATACCATGCGATAAGATATCGTACGAAAAATCAGTTCCCATTATTGCATATGAATCTATGATAAACATAAACTGACTAAAATCACAGCCTTACAAAAGTCATCTCAGTCAGATATCCATATCATGGTCTAGAAAAAAAGAATAAAAATGAAAGACGGCAGTATACATGAAGAAATTTTCAGGAACACGGTTAGGCACATTCAATGTCATAATACAAATTGTTAGAATTTTTTTTTAAAGTATCTAATTATTTGTATTTTAATATTTGATGTACCGAACCGTATTTCTGGCACTACCATCTTTTTTTCATATAATGGCCAATACACTTCATATATAAAAAGAATAATTATTTGCAATGAGCAAATACAATTTTGTGTGACACAAATATACACCTAAAATAAATTAATAAAATCAAGAGCTTTGTACGGTGACACCACCTGCACATGTCAAGGCCAATCCTGACTATACGTATTTCTCAAGTAATTTTACCGTAGAGTACCAAAAAATTGGATACTTAGTAATCCTAAACCCTATATATATATATATATATATATATATATATAACACACACATATATATAACACACACACACACACATATATATATATATATATATAATATGTGTGTGTGCTCTGATTGTTCAAGAAGAAGAGAAGTACTAATTAATAAAGATAAAAGTATAACACTCGTATATATCCATCATATATTCATATAAAAACATTTACACCTGAATTAAGCAAGCAGAGACAAGATTTTCATTATACCTATTTGTATATATACGTACAACTTCTATAAATAGTTGGATTAATGAAAAGGATGCAACACCAAACTTTTTTGCGGACTTGGTTAACTAAGTAGACTGATCAAGTACAGATGTGGGAGACAAAGAAGCCGCTGAGTTACTATTGGTAGGCATGGACTTTGATCGCTTCATCCAAACCGATGACGTGGACCGGTGAAACCGGCACCGGAATGAGCCTTGATGTGTCGTTGGTGAGCAGAGACATTGACCCTTTTGTGAAGTAATTGATGCAGCTTCTGCGTTGCCACCATTTTCTGGAGTTGTTGAGACTTTCAGGCCACTGCCATGGGAGGCCATGTTTTGATAGAGAATAGTGATGCCAATTGAAGGAAAAGCTTTTATAAACTTATTGCCAGATTGCCTTTATATATAGGAGGAAAGTTAGAAGGGAAAAAAAATGGATTTTATCCTCGAATAGTGTGAGGTCAGAAGTGATCAATTAAGGCAATCAAGCTGTACCCTTGATTCCTATCCTCATTAGTCTCTTTAGTAACCAAATTAGAAGAGATTTTTAAGTGTGATCGTCATTCGAGATGATACATCACGTATTACTATATAAATAGTTGGATATGTGTGTTAAAAAGTTAATAACTTAAAAATTAAAATTTTCCACCACTTACATAAAAATACTTAATGTGTATCATCCGTATTCCCGTCACAGCTAAAAATTTCTTCCAAATTAGGAATTTGTGGTAAAAGTGATTTTTGTACTATCATGTAATTCATTTATAATATTATATATCTATAAAGTACGGTTAGTTTTTATCATGTATAATTTATATTTAATTTTAAATTAAAATTAACAATGATTTCTGACTGCACAATGTACGATAAACAGACATGATTGGAAGATTCACAGAGGATCCTCATTCGTTATTATTATCAGATATGTGTATGGAATATTAGTTATATCATTCTTTATATTCCATTACTATGATTAATAATATAAAGTAACAGTGTAACTGTTTCACAAAAAAATTATTCGTAAATAAGTTAATTTTGTTTTTTGTTTGTTGTTTCTAACCTACATCTGTGCTTTTCACGAAATAATAGACTCTAAACCCTTGGTTTTATGCTAATCTGATCTAAAGGTTGAAAAGGGTGACTAAAAACAGATGAGGAGTCATTATCTCAACTTCTAAATAAATTAATCATTTTTACCAATAAATAAATAAAATAATCATGTGTTAGAGAAGAGAACAGGACAAGATCATGAAGTGGATTCCATAATCCACCGACTTAAGAGTTTTGAGCTTATTCAAACTCCTCATATAATAACATTTAACCAGTGTGAAAGGCAATACTGTTTTAAAAGAAAAAGTGAAAGGCAAATCATGAAATGTTTACTATTTTTGTTTGTAATGGGAATTAGAATATTTTGATTCCTGATTTTTTTTATGTTTTTTAATACATAGTGACTAAAATTATTTTGATTTTTTTTTTCCCTTAAGTGTACTAACACATGCGTAATAAAAAAGAAAACATAGATGACCCTTCCTACCGTGTAAATTGTAATGTACTTGAAATTCAGGATTAAATTTAGTTATGGGGAAATATTGATCTTATCTCAACTCCTCCTCTCTCTTATTTCAAACTTGTCGATTCATGACTTCTGTCATTAGGAAAAAAAAAGTTGATATGGAAGGAGACTTGAAGATAAAAAAAAGGTGATATGTTGAGGTCGGTAAGGTGAGTGGGTATAGCTAGTGGTTGCATGAAGATGAGGCTTTCCATGTGGGAGGGATTGTTAAGTATACGCAATGTATGTGGCTGATTGTACACGTAGTATACATTCTGATTAATTTGCTATTTTACACCAGATCATGCATGGTCCTGTATTTGTGCTCTCCCTACCCTAAGTCAAAAAGATTTGGCATCTCCCATTGTTGCTAAAGAGCAAGAGCTTTTATTGTCATCTTCTGACAACATCAAGCTTTAACGATCTAAACCATCTATTTTTCAAGTTGCTCTTCATAAATCATCTTTGCAAAATATTAGCCAAATAAAAAATATTTGAGGCATCTAATTGAGTTAAAAAAAAAGTGACGAATACTTTGGTCTAAAGAAAACATTGAAATTTCATCGTGATAATTAAAAAGCAAATAGTTTCAGATTGAATTGATTTTTTGCAAAGATGATCTATAATATTGAGACTTACAAAGTAGATGGTTTGGATAATTGAAGTTCGATGTGGAGTGGTCCTACAATTAATTCCCATTTTTGATAAAAAATGAAAATCTCTTCCTTTAAATGGCTTGTTTATATATATTGTCTTAGCCATGCATGACTTGAGCCCATATTGAAGATATGGGTTGTTCATGACTACTTGATATGTGTTCTTGTTGTTTCCGAATTAGCTAGGTTAACTTCCTCATCCATACAAATTACAGGACTATTGCATCGTTTTTAATGTGTGGAAATTGAAATTGGCAATTTGTTTGTTGCGAGCTTGTTTGATTTTCACAAGCTAATGAAATTGGCAATTTTGTTTTTCTTTTTGTTTTTAAAAGGAAACGATGATAATGGATTAGGCAAGTCGAACTACTTATAAGGCTTGTTCATTAGTCTACCAAAATAGTCTTATTCTCAAAACCCGCGCAAAACAGTCAGAAAGAACCAAGACTCTGGAATTAGCCATCGATTACAAAGTAGACAAAATAAAAATGTGGTATAGTTTTTAAAACAAAGAATGCTTGTAAGTAATAGTTTGGTTCTACAAGACGATGAATGTTCAAACAATTTATTTCTTCTTAGAAGAAACCATTTTTCTATATACGTAATGTTAATTTCAAATACATCTTTGAAATCAAACACAAACATACCTGGCTATGCATGCGCTGTCTCATACTACAGCAATTTCAACTTGAATTACACGGTTATATATATCCTTGTATTATGTTATCTTATCTTTATAAATTATATCCTTGTAGGAATTTGTATGAAAAGATAACCCACCAACCTTTTTAGTTTTTATTTTCTTTTGGCGTGGTGCCTAACACCTTCCCCAATCCAATCCCTTCAAGTTTCGTTTTCGTTCGATGATAGCGATGACCTTTTTAAGTTATCAAGATAGCATATATATATATATATATGAAATTCAACAATGCAAGTCGGCTGGCTTGTTACGATTCTTCTTTTATGTACTGCTCATTACTCATCTGAACTTAATTTAAGCTCCAAGAATTGCATTTTGGTTTGATTAATCTACCTTGGGATGTATCCATTCATGTCTACATCATTCATTGTAAATCTATCTTAAACCGTGAATATGTCTCTGTACATCTAAACATACTCAACAAAATAGACACAAGTAAATGTACCACCAGTTTCATAATGGATTTCTCGCCTACTACACTCTAAATTGGCAATAAAATGACTTACTAATTGGTTATCCTTTAATAATACTAGCTCTTTTAAAAAATTAATACTTTTTTTAGTGATTTGTAGTTCAAATGGTTAAGAGAACATTACTTCTCACTCGAGTTTTCCCTTAATAATGTTTGCATACGTATATATAAAAGAATTGATTATTTGATTTCGGGTTTATATGTGAGAATCCAATGATCGAAAGATCCGTTTACTAACCATTTAATTTGTTTTTACATTTTCAGTTTAATATAGCTTACACATATGGCAAACACAAAAAGTGAAAACTAAAAAAAAAAAGTTATTTTTTCGACAAAAAAAAAAAGTTATTTCTCTTAAAAAACGAAGTAGTTATTAACAGATCTAAATCGTAAATACAGACCTAAATGCGATTATCGGTGTATGAACGCACGGCATGTCAGACGGGGTAAGAAAAATTGGATAAGTTCAGAAAAATAAAAATGTCAATGATGCCCGAGTGTTCCTTCTTCATCTGACTGGATCAACCATGCATTGAAAGTAACAAGCTAAATAAAAATGGAAAAGAAAAAAGAAATAATTAACAGACAAAAATACAAAAAAAAAAAAAAAAAAAAGGCAGCTAGAAAACAACTACCAGTCAAGGAACAAACTACCAGTCAGTTTGATCTTTTGGTTTTCTTCTCTCTGTGGGGGCTCATAAGTGCCCTTGCTAAGTTATCACTTTCAAACGAAGAAATCTTGTCTCTGTTGTTCCTGAATTTCTGTGAATTTTCGAGAAAAAAGTTGGAAGTAATTTTAATCGAGAAAGATCCATGGCGAGATCTGGCAATAAGAATATACAAGCCAAGCTGGTGGGTATGTCTTCCTTTTTTTTTTACTTTTTTCTTTCATTCGCTTAATTCGTTGTATGCATGATCTATTGAGTTATTGCAAATTACTATTGTCCTTAGTAATTTTGTGAGGTTAATTGAGTTTTGATATGATTCTGATTAACTTGATGAGCACCAACCACGATGATATATGATATGACTTTTAGGCTTGATTATAGCGATGGTTCCTGAATTAGGATTCTCGCAGATTGTAATTAACTCAATGAGCAGTGTTATATATATATATGTATATATATATATATATATATGAACAGTGTCATATATATATGTAATTAACTCAATGAGCAGTGTCATATATATATGTATATATATATGAAGGAGTCAAATGCTTCTTCTATTCACTTAGCTGTTAGATTGTTAAAATTGTCACATTTTATCAATAAATATAATTTCGCATTGAAATTTTTGTAAATTGGTTAACTTCGTTATTATGATTGTTTCCAGGTACTTCTTGGGGACATGGGAACTGGGAAAACAAGTTTGGTATTGAGATTTGTGACTGGAAAATTTTTGGAGTACCAGGTTTCACTTTGGATCAAATTTTAATTTCTTTGTACAAAATGTAGAATGCTAGAATATTTGTTCATGGCTTTTAATTAATATGAGTAGTGTATAAATTGCAGGAATCAACAATTGGAGCAGCTTTCTTCACTCAGGTTCTGTCACTAAATGAAGCTACTATCAAATTCGATATATGGGACACCGCGGCCAGGAACGGTACCACAGCCTGGCTCCAATGTACTACCGCGGTGCTGCTGCAGCTGTTGTGGTGTACGATATCACAAGCATGGTATGGAGACTGGTCCAGAACGGTTTCTATCGTTACGTTTGTTGCTAGGTCTTCTCATATTCATGTTTGTCACATAATGCCTTGAACATTTGTTGATAATCCAAAATGGCTGCATGCAGCTTAATATGCTCACTGATTAGCAACAGAAAGATTTCTATTAAGAAGCTTCAACCTCTAGAACTTCAGATAATACTTTTATGGCTCGCTTAGTCACCTAGGATTGGATTGGATTGTTATTTGTTGAATGATTGAATAACTGCTTTACTAATGATATCTCTTATGTTCATATGTGGTGTGTTTTGCTGCAGGATTCATTCCTTCGGGCGAAAAAATGGGTTCTAGAAGTGCAACGACAAGGTGAATGCATGCCAGTTTTTGTACTTAAAGTTTCATTTTCAATTAGTTTTTGCATCAATTCGAATGAAGTTTGATATTTGTTCAAGATAACTGAAATTTGTTCAATATTTTTCATATCAGCAAATCCAACCTTAATAATGTTCTTGGCTGGTAACAAGGCTGATTTGGAAGATAAGAGAAAAGTAGGGTCTGAGGTATTCACTCTTCACCAGGACACATTTCGTACATATAATTTATTGATTCTTCAAGTTTTTCTCATGAAATTTATATTTTGAATTTATTTTTGGCTGCAGGAAGGTGAGCAATATGCCAAGGAAAATGGTTTGGTTTTCATTGAAACATCTGCAAAAACTGCACAGAATGTCAATGAGCTCTTCTATGAAATAGGTACATACTTATCACCCTTTCACAATGTTTTTCTTTTCTGATACTAGTGATATTCTACTTTCAAACTAATCTAAATTGTGGGGAAGAGGATTCAAACTCGGGTGCATAGAGGGAGCATATCTCCTCTAATTGACTAATGTGGCTATGCCCACGTCTCCCACCCTATATAATGTTTGGAATAATATGTATTCCAAGTTTTCCACTTGATCTGAAATCATTTGGGCAGTATTCAAGTTGTATGATCCCATTCCATCAGTCCATTAGCAAATATTCTTGAAAAACGCTTATGAAAACAAGTCTTTTTTGCAGCAAAAAAACTGGCCAAAGCTAGCCCTTCTCGTCAAAGTGGGATAAAATTGCATAGCAGATCACCGCAAAACAGCAGGAGAATGTTCTGTTGCTCTTGAGTCTTGATGATTTCGGTATGCATTTTCTTTCGCTGTATCTTGCCTCGTTATCAATTTTGGTCACCTGTGTCTTATTTTCTGTTAAATTCGACGATTACAAAGCTACTAAACTTCTTTTAACAGGATTGTGAACAATTTCAAGGACATGGTTCAACAAGATGGTAGAAACTAACTAAAACTGTGGCTGCATCAGAGATGGAGCAAGCTCTGCCGACCTGCTACAAGATATGAATTTCCTTAGTTTATGTTGTACAAATTATAAGAATTATTTCATTATGTTAATTGATGTTAAAGAGTGATTGTGGAACATAAGTATAATGAGAAGCAAAATTTCACTCATAAAAACGTGTCATGGCAGCGAGTAAAAATCTACGCTTTCTTGGTGTAGCTTGAACGATCAATAAAGTTTTGCCTGCAAAGGTTGAAAAATAACCTACCCATATATCCCCGTCCCATGAGATATACTCATGTGCGCTCGAGTAGTGGGGCAGTTGTTCCTAACACTCTCATCAACACATGAAGAGTGGTGTCGGAACAATTGTCCAAAAACTTGATTGCAGGTATGTTTTTCTTTCTGCGGAGGAGAGAGGTACACTACAACGGGGATGGCGAAGTTCCTCTTGTTGTTAGCTTGTTCAGTGCACAACGGAAAGATATTATTGGCGGTAACCGTTCTACTATTTCACGCTATACATATCTCTCGTTACATGATTGGTCACATTATAAAATAACCAAATACACACTCTCTCTCTCTCTCTCTCATTCTTACCGAAGTGGACAAAAACCTCCAGCAGGTTTCAGTTGGATTGTTTATCTCAAATCGATGTCCCTAAAAAACAGACTTTTCTTTTATTTTATTTTATTTTTAAATTGTGCATCTTCTGTTTATTTGTTGAATTTTTGTTAGTCCACCATTTCCCGTTCACGTGCACACCCATCCAATTTCTCACAATCCCGAACGGAAAATAAACGTCTAATATGTAGAAAAATGAAATGAAACTGCTTCTCCATAAACTAGTACAAAAGCAGGTGAAAACAAGAAAAGTACTTCTGGCTCTCTGCTTCTGCAGTTTGGGAGGGAAGGAAAAAAGAGAGAAGCATGACATGGCTTGGATGGACGAGCCATGACCAACGCATGCAGTGAAATGCTGATCGGAGCACTGTCTTCCCATTTACCAAAAACTTACCATCATCAATATTACTGTGACGGTGTCTTATGTCAATCACAAATTGTCACTCATTTCATTTGTCACACTTAATATTGAGTGATTAGTTTGATATTCCGCCATGGTGAAAACAACCCTCAAAATGCCACAGACATTTGAAGCTAATAACATAGTGCCATGTGTTATCAATGTCGTAAAAAGCATTGAATTATTAGCTAGGATGCAAAAATAACGTTCGAATGATGCATGTAAGTGTCTCAATACAGAAGAATAACTTACGTAAGAATATCAGCCACGTCATTTGTACATCTCACAAATGAGGCCTCTAGAGAATTGCTCTAACAGGGCAACTCTATCAAAAATAGATCTATGTATTTGATCATACCTAACCCAAGTGAACCTGGTCAATGTGAGAATTGCTTCAGTAGGGCAACTCTATCAAAAAGTTGGCACCGTTTAAGGAAAGTTATTCTCTCCCACTGTAGATCACAAAAAACCCATCCCTTTGTGACAAGATAATATCCTAAACTACGAGGAGAATTACATAGAGAGAATCGAACTTGGATGCACAAAACCAGATACAAATATAATAAACTAACCAACCTACCTAATTCGCATTTGCTATGAAAAAAAACATATAACTAAAATTAAAAAAAAAAATTGAAAAAACGAAGAAATACAAAAGCTCTAATTAATCACCATGAAGGAGAAGTGGAAGGAGAACCAGAGGAGGAGGAAGAGAGGCCGTTGTTACTATTGGAATCACTACCCGAAGTGCCTAGAGACCTTGCATCCCTGAGAGAAACAGAGCAAGCCTCCGCAGGGTGCTTCTTCAACGGAGTCAAAGGAGGCGTGGTAATTGGGTTTGACGGACCTGAGGGGGTTGGTTGCGCAACCTCTTCGTACCGGAGCTTGAAGAAGAAGAACCCCACCATTTCCATCCTTGATGGCGACATGTCCGGCGTTTGGAAAGGAGTGTTTGTTCCGCTGCCCTGCCGATCGTTTCGTTGTCGTAAATGAGGTTGGAAATGTACACAAAATACTCTGCAGCTCCACCCCCGCAACCTCTGCTGCCGCCACCAGCGTTTTCGTTACAATTAGCACTGTGACTGGGACTAATTTTGTCATCTGGGGTTGGTTGCGGGGAAGTTACAAAAGAAATTGATGGGGAGGGGATTGACATAATTATCCCTATATGGCAGGGAGATGTGTTTGTTAACATTTCTTGGTTTTGGACCGGGATGTCGAAAGCTTGGAGGAGCTGAGAGTGCTGCTTCTTCGTAACCGCACAGTATTCTTCTCTGGAAGAAACCGGTAGGGAAAGGAAGCTTCTCGGAGCGCAAAGAATGCCTAAGAAGCTGCCGAGAGAAGGGCCGGTTAGGTGGTCTTGAGACTGCTGTGTTGAGGGCAGATGAGGAGCGGCTGCAGAGTCAGCGACGATGTTGGAGTAGCTGTTGGTTTTGTGCTGGCGTCGGCGGAGGAGGAGTGAGCAGTAGAGCTCGGCCAGCAGCACCAAGATCAAGCCTACGACTATGGCGAGGGTCACCACCATCACCAGTGTGGCCCCCATTATCACCTTCGACGTGCCCTTCATTTCTCTCTCTCTCTCTCCCCCCCCCCCCTCACTTTCTCTCTCTAGACTGTGGTGGATGAGGGACGAGAAGACTGTCCTGGTGTTATATTGGAGGCTGAGCACCGAGCAGATTTATTATTTTGGCGGTGTAAGTACGTTACCTATGACAAGGGAAGGGAACGTAGAGGGGCAAATGGTCCTGGGGAATGTGGAAGGGCAAATAGTCCTGGGGAATGTAAAGGCTTTCCCTTCTGACAATCAAGGTCAAATTAGTCATTTGTCACTGACACTAAACCATAAATTTACCTCTCTATCCTTGATTGAAGACAAAATTTCCGAAAGTGTGCAACTGTTAATTATGATGAACACCACTCAACAAGAAGCATTCTCAATTCTCAAACTCAATTATCCATTGAAACTCAAGACACTATAACAAATTCTACAATGATGACTCCAATGATTTGAAATTTCGGTAATATATGATTTATTAGACGCAGTGTGAGGTAAAAAAGACCAACCGTCGGAAGCCACTGTGCCACTCAACTACCGGAAACAATGGTCGCCATCGAGCTCATACAGTTAAGATTCTTGCTTTTACCCTTTACATTCCTCTTAGGGCTGCAAATTGGGCGGCCAAATCTTCGTAGTCTGGGAGCTTGGGATGCACATGCTTAGCTGGATTGGACCTGTCGGGTTGAAACGAAGCCGCACGAGCAAATACTTTGGGTGCCTCTGATGGACCGCTATGTTCATGAGGAAGGGAAACTGATCTTACTGCTGTTGGAACCATTTCCGACTCATCTCTGCTTGCGTGTCTTGGGGATTCACCAACACCAGTGCCTGCATGCTGTGCGTGACGACTTCTCGACTTTCTTCTTGACAATTCTGAGTCCAAGTTAGATGGCTTTTTACTGTAATGAATCAGAAGCTCGTCCATTCTCCTCTCTTCTTCATCCTTCTTATAGTGCTCGTCATCAAACAACAGTTGTAGACCTCGTCGTGACTCATCCTTTCTCCTGCTTCTTGTTTTTCTGATTGCAACTTCTGTCTCTTCACTGTTTCCAGCATCATTGTGAGAGGACCGTGATCTTGAGTGTCTCCTCCTAGAAGATCTTGGTTTTGGTATGTGGTTGCTAGATGCATCATCCCGATGAGCACGATCCTTCTCATGATCATGACTATTAACTTTTGTAGCAGCAGGCTTCTCATCCTCATCATCAGATCCTACGCTTACCCCTCTGAGTATATTGTCAACAAAGGCTATGTTATACGCTACAGGATCCTTAGTGATGCGCTTGCTGCCAGAACCATCCTTGACTTCATGTTTTCTATCTTTTGCTTTGGCATTTGGTTTCACATACGGAGGAGGGACCCCATAATTGTAGGGGGGCTTCAACTTAGGCATCTCTTCTTCTTTAATTCCTAATTTTGCGTCATTTTGTTTGCCACCATAATTGTCACCAGCAAATAAGCCTTGCCCGTTGCTTTTCACATGAGGTCCAGCAACACTTGGCTGTACACGAGGTAAAGCTTCATGGAAGTCTCTTTTAGGAACATTGTTCTCCCTCTCGTGATGCCTTTCCTGTCCTTTTCCTTGAGATGAACTGTCTGATCTAACTGACTTTGGGGGAGCATCCTCCCTTCTATTCCAAGCTTCATATCTGTGAGAAGCCAATTCTTGCCTTTCCTGGAACAAAATTCCATGGCCATCTTTTTCCATGACAGTATCTTCCCTCGCACCGAGAGACTTATGTTCTATCCCAAAGGGTCTATGCCTCGTTTGAGGAACGTGATCATCTTTTTTCAATACAGTACCGAGCTTCTCCTTGTGTAATTTCTGAGCATCATTAAGATCAAATCTCCTTTCTGTGGGTAAAAGATTATGTTCTTTTGGGACTGCAGATTTCCCAGTAGACAATTTGCTTTTATCGTCACTAACATGGGAAGGCCCGTAAGTTTTTGGCTTGTCCTGCAAGGTCCAGTCCACAAGTGACGTTTAATTTGAGAGAGCAATGCTTTTGACCATGAATTCCTCATTCTATCTGATATAGGTGTTACAGCAACAACAGAGTAGGACATACCTGTGTAAACGCAGGAGGAGGTTTTGCCATCCTCTGTTCAAAGGCCTTGGAATCCCAATTTATTGAGAACTCTACTGCTATGTCTTTCAATAACTGAACCTTCTTCTCCAGTGTGGGAGGCTTTGAAGCTATGTTCTCAACAAACTATCAATTAATAATGCAGTAGGTTAGCTTAAAGCAGTTACGGATGCATAAAGTTCTATATGAGCATGTCGATAAAGAATTACCTTTTGATTCACAAAATACTCCAGAGAATTTGCGTATCTCTCTTGAAAAAGTTGCCTAAGGTCACGCAACTCTGGTAAATCAGAGAACCTTGCAGCAGCAATCATCAGCGATGATACAGGTTCCTTACATTCCTCAGGGCAATCACTACAAAGAAAATAGCGTAGCAAAGGGAACGTTATCTTGAGTTTCACTACAGGACTGTCATTTCCTTTAGCAGGAAACCGTACAAATTGTTCGGATTATTTCCTAATGTGCATAATATTAGAGGAATAATATCAGGTTAACAGACAAAATGGAGCAATGACATAGAATCAGCTGAAAATATCTGGGGCAGAACCATAGACAAGTTGTGTTTATGAGAATCGCAATCACGTGACAATATGTCCACACTTCTTTACGCATTTTTACTGAAACCAATATTTTCCCAACAGGTATTTCCCCTAGTTGAAACAAATTACCTCACTTGATGTCTCCTTTCTCATCAACAGGGGTAACCGTATCTTATCAAGCCACTTAACGAGAAAATGTCAACTAAATCTATACCCATTTTTGCGACTTCTAACACAATCAGCCACAAATTATACAAATGCACATATCATATAACACAATAATTCACAAAATTGACCATAACATGTAGAGAAGAAACATATTAAAATAGCATAAAATTGGTATAAAGTGTTCCAATCCAATATCAAAAGAGCGGTTGCACGCTAAATAGGTAAAGAAAATTGAGCGATCGGTTTTGGCAGCAAAGAATCTCTAAATTCCCACGACAACCCAAGAATGTACCTTTCTTTCTGCATAACTGAAAGATTCTTGAGCACCAAATCACAGCATCGCTCAACGAAATCATAACACGAAGAAAGGATCAACTCCGCTGTGAGTCCATCAGCCTGCATTTACCAAATATAGCATACTCTTGCTTTAGGTGCACAAGTAGGCAAAACAAAACTTAGTCCACATCACCAACATATTTTGTCTGATTTCCGGTTAATTAAAAACCTTGCACATTTTATTTAATTTAATCCAACGATTCTTATCCTTTTCAAAGAGCAAATATCGTAAAATACAAAAAGGCAGAAAAACAAATTTTCTCGGCGTCCAAACAGATTACAGAAAATTCAAAATTGCACCCAAAAAATGAAATTAAAGAATCAAAATCGAAGAGCAGAGTAATCAATCAATCTCACCCTTCCGAAAGCATTGATATCAAGGCCATTGGTGAGCAGATCAGCGATATCCTTCTTCAGAAACTTCTGCGTTGCGTTCCTCTTCCTCCGTATCACATCGATCCGAGTCTTCGTCGATTTAATCAGCGATTTGCTGCAAATCAAAACATGCAGAATATATATAAGCACATATATATTTCTATTCTGATATACATACAGAGGTAGATGCAAATCATGCAACTGTATATGGAGAGAGATCTGAGGGCAAACGCAAACCATTTGGAGGCAAATCCACGGCCCAGCAGCCCGTCCAACATTTTTCAGTAACTCGGTGAACGATTCGACTCAGCGACTCAGAATGTATGAGCACGCATTGACAGAAGCTCGCAGTGCAATAGAACCAGAACAATAACAGCAAGAAAGGTAGATGAAAAAGAAGAAGTCTCTCTCTCTCTCCTCGCTCTCTCTCCTCTCTCGCTCTCGCTTTTCTGAAGCCACTTCAGGACATTTTTCGAACTCTCACTCGGCCACTAAGCTGATGGGAGAGAGAACTTTTGTGACAAGGTCCTTGCGCTTTCACCTTTCACCTTTCACAACGACGTTGACGCGGGTAACGACCGGTTTTTATAACGTTACTGAGGGTGTTTTGGGCAAATAAGCGCGGATTTGGTGGGTTGGGAGATCGTGGCCGTTGGAAGAGGAGGGTGTGCGGTGGGAGGTAGAGTCATCAAGTCAAGGTGGGCAAATGACGAGTCAGCCCTCCAGGAGTTGATAGAATCTGCTGAGCTGGACCCAGACCGTCAAGTGCTTTATTTTTGGGTCACATTCCTTAATTTTTTCATTAACCTTTTTAATAATAATTATTATTTATAATTATATATTGCTTTCATGGGACAATGAAATGATCATTATCGGTCTGACAGAAGAAAAGGAAGAGCGTTGATAACGGCCAATTAACCGATTTATCAGAAATTGGTCTGAAAAAAATGATTTTCTTTTTTGGATGGTACACAGATTAGCCAATCTAGGAATGAAAAAATGGAAGTTTCTCGACAATGGATGACGTCCTCAGCTCGGTCATGACATCGGTGGGTCTTTGGTTGGCATGATCTCTCTCTGTCGGTAGCCTACCCCTTGAGCTTAAATTATTATTTATTTTTTGAGGAAACTGCTAATTTACCTTTTGAACTATCATTGAACTTTCGATTTCTCCCTTGAACTTTTTAATTGAAAATTTAAGGATTTAAACTAATTTTTTTGGCTAATTTCCCCTTAACCGTTAGTTTTTCCTAGATTTCATCTAAATTATCGTGAACTTTTATCATGCGCAAACCACGTAACTCTTCTTTGTGGACAAAAACGTCACTTCACTAGACCTTCAGACACAAAAGCTATAAAATCATACATATTTGCATAGGTTTGTATTTTAGAAATCTAAGGTTTTCTATTATTTTAAATGATGAAGCGACCAACTACCCGCACATGTTGTGCATATGCTTCTATTTAACAGAAATTTGGATGGAATGAACGAAAAATTAACAGCAGGGGCAAATCGGCCAAAAAAATTAGTTTAAGTCCTTAATTTTCCAATTAAAAAGTTCAGGGGGAAATCAAAAGTTAGGTGATAATTCAGGGGAAAATCAAAAGTTTACTCTTTATTTTTTAACTTAATTTTAATGCTTTTAATTAATTTTTATTTGATTTTAAAAAAATTCACATAATAATATTTAATTAGACTTGTGGGTCTCATATATTTATCACATCATCTATTAATAGAAGTTTGACGAAATTGATTTGTATCACTCATATTCAAATATTACATTGATCCAATAACTCCATGTCTCCTCTCTTCAACAAAGATAATATATTGTATTCAAAGAGTAATGTTAAGGAAATTAAATATTTAGACAAAATTTGTTAAATCATATGACGTATTTGTTGATGATTGAATTGTTGATTAACGTTTTTATTTTTTATTGATGACACATCACATGTTTTACAAATTTAGTCTAGAAATATTGTTTACCAAGCATTACTCTTATTCAAAATATAATGGATAGAATATGTCAATTATTTTGAGATTTTCTAGTAGTCTCCGCAATATTCTTTATTTTAATATTTTTGTTCATTGAATACTTAATCAAGAAGGTGATAATTAAAATTTGGGTAAATTATATAAAACTACCTCAACTATTGGGTCATTAACCGTTTCATACCTCGTCTTTAAAAAGTTTCAATGTCATACCGTATCTTCGAATTTGTTGCAATGTCATACCTTCCGTCAGTTGTCTGTCAATTATTCTGTTAAATGCTGACGTGGCTTGAGGCGAAGCCCACTTTCTATTAAAAAATTAATTAAATATTAAAAAAATTAAAATACAATTATTTTAATACTTTTATAAAAAGAAGGTGGGACCCGCCCACTTTCTTCCCTCCCACATGTCTCCCCCCTGCACCGTTCCTCCCTTCACTCCAGAAACCTCCCCTCGCGCCCTCTCTTCCTCCATCTCCTCATCCCTCCCATGGTGCTCCTCCCCCTCCCCCTCCACCTCATCCTCCTCCTGCTTCACTGACCTCCCCACACCTCTCTCCCTTTCTCTCTCTGTCTTCCTTGAAACCAAACCCAGACCTTATTCGAGGCATTCATCTTCAACAGCGGCTTCAACCTCTCGTTGGTGCGACACGCGCCCATAACCTACATAACAAGCGCTTCTAGCCAGTGCAAAACGCGGTCCTCCCTAATGCTTTGCTGGAGCAATAGATCTCCATCTTCTTCGTTAACAAGTATCCTCGTCAACTGCTCCTCGAGCCCAATCTCACTCCTCGACGCTGGTTTAGCGTCGAATCTCCCCACACCGTTCAAAGGCGACGAGTTCTCCAATTCCCCACCGTTCGATTGATCCCCAACGCGATCGATCTCGTTGTTCGTTTGTAAATCTCATTCTCCATGGTTAGTCATCGCAAATAATTAGGGAAATTTCCTAGAAATCTCAAATCGCCTTGATAGATTTGAAACCCTAATCGAATTCAATTCTTTTTGTTAAATTTAATTTCATTTTTTAATTTGGTTTCCAAATCTGAATCGGAAGCCTTGGAGCCGATTGAGATTGAATCCGGAAAGGAAGATTGAATTGTCGGTTGCGTGGGTGAGGAAAGAGAGGGAGATAATGAGGTTTTTTTAGAGCGAGAAGAAAATAACTCTGCTGCAAAAATGGAAGGACAAGAACGGCAATGGGGTCGGTTTTTATAAATATAGCTAGAACTTGGAAGGGGATTGGACAATTATATGAGGTGGATGAGGAGAGGTGTGGGGAAGTTAGTGAAGCAGGAGGAGGAGGAGGAGGAGGAGGAGGAGGAGGAGGAGGAGGGGAGGGGGAAGAGGAGATGGAGGAAGAGAATGCCCGGGGGGGGGGGGGAGGGGGTGGGAGGTGGGAGGGAAGAAGGTGGGCGGGTCCCATCATCTTTTTATAAAAATATTTAAGTAATTGTATTTTAATTTTTTTAATAGAAAGTGTGTCACGTCACAAGCTACATCAGCATTTAACAGAATAATTGACAGACAACTGATGAAATGTATGACATTGCAATAAATTTGAAGATACGGTATGACATTGAAACTTTTTAAAGATGAGGTATAGAATTGTTAATGACCCAATAGTTGAGGTAGTTCTGTGTAATTTACCCTTAAAATTTAACTACAAATTTTTTTATTGTTTTTTTTATTTTGAGGAAAAAGGTGATATTTCATTTCATTTCCAAAGTTTGACAAATTAAGAATTACATGGCAAAGAGAGGTCCTCCTCAAGTGTATCACAAATGATAATTGCAGGTTCATCAAACCAAGTATTCACACCCCCGAGTGGAGGGAGAACCTAGCCAGTCTATGCGCAACTAAATTTGCTTGGCGATGAATATGGAAAACAAAAACTTCAGCGATCAAACGCATCAGGAATATCGCATCCTCAATGATTGGTCCAATGAAAGACAGATCCATCTGCAGAGTCAGAAAGCACACAGCACTGTCACATTCCACGTCTGCAAGCTTCCGCTGCTCTGCATGCCCCATTCATAGAAAGTTAGAAACCTACGTAGATGGATTAGGCTTTACGGCTTTGCATCACCGCCCCACCGCTTACGGAATCGACCAAAGCCATCCAATTAGTCACATGATTAATTAAATTAATCCACTTTGTAGTCGTGTGTTTGGGGATAAATTAAGCAATCCACGTGTTACTTCCACTAATTAAAAGGGAAATGACTATCGTATTACCACCAACCCCTTCAGCTATCTAACATTCATGCAGAAGCAAGGCATAGATGCCAACATTTCCAATTTTGTTTTTTTGGTCAAAGGGTATTATTTATTACCAACAACAAACTTTATAAACACAATGGTCCAGATACAAAGTATGCACAAAATTGACCATAAAACAAAAAAGGGCCCAAAGATAGTTTGCAGCCCAAATACACAAAAACAACAAACAGGAAAACCCTAGAGAAACTAAAGTCCCTGTAGCAAAAGTCCAACACACAGTAAACAACAAAAAGCAAATTAGAACCCTGTTGCAGCCGTTTTCCGCACCAGCAAATCCTGTACAACTCGATTCCACGCTCCTGACGAAACATCCCCGCTCTGATCGCCCCCACCAGATGAAAACAGTTCATCAATCGCAACCAAAAACTGGAAAAAACCAGCCATGAAGCATGTGGAAGTCCACATGCAACGCTGCCATAGGCACAGGGAGAGAGAAGGTAGTGGTGTTGATAACACCCGAACCGGTGAGAACATCGGACTTTGATACACCAACTCGATAGATCGCAATGAATCGCGATGAAAAGTGGCTACATATTGAATTGGAGGTGATCCAGAAAGAGGGTTGCCAAAAGATTATGGAGAACTAACTAGAACAAGATTGAGGGGAAAGGGAAAATGCAACAGGAGAACACATGAAAAACATAACAAAATGGCGGGAATGTCTCTTAAGCACGCTGATTAGAGACTTTTAGCATAACTAATTACAATCAGACAATGTAGTGAACTCTTAAAGCGGAGTGAATCTTAGGTATAACTAATCTACTAGGGCAGCTCTCATGAAAGGGAAACAAACGTGGGGTAAGATTTAAATAAAAAATTCCTGTTTTATAAGAAATATTATACAGATAACACGGTCGTCTCACCTAAATTTTTTTCCTTAAAATGATGCTAAACGACTTAATAAAATCACATTCTAAGTGTTGGCCCAGGAGCAATTTTTTATCTGGTGCACATGCCTATTTTCACATCTTGTATACACACGCGAATAACAAACCTTGGATTTAAATGGAGTTGCAATCGGCTCAAAGAACTGTGAAACATATCTCATTCTATGATCTGAACTCACATATTACAACTCGAACGCTCGCCAGTCGGTCACCAATAAATAATGGTTTACCAAAATGCAGAAAGAAAAAAAAAAAAAAAATACAACTTGCTTGGTATTGTGCGTCCATCTGCATCCAAGTTTGAATCTCCGCCTCATAGTTTAGCTTAGATTAGAGTATAGAATGATAATTTGTTAGTTCCTACCAAAAACATCTCAAAAAGTTGATGAGGAAATGGAACAGGTAATTTTCTCCATCGAGCAGTTCGTGTCGAACCAATCTTTGGAGGATGATGTTCTGCGGAAGCAACTCGCTGTAATAGAGCAAAGTCGAAACTGAGGCAGCAGGATCTCCGATTAAGGATGTTAGCAGCCTCAGCAGTGTCCTAAACATCAATGGTGTAAGAGACTGCACCACCAAAAATGCAACCGCAAAAAAATGTCACAAAAAGTAAATAAATTGAACAATAGATTGCACATAAAAAAATAAATTTGATCGTACATACCATGGATTTCGGTGAGGGAGAAGGAAATTGGAGATGAAATTCTGAACTGGATTTGGAAGAGAATGTGGGGTTTTTTGATTTGGGGTGATTTATTTGTAGGATTATCTGTCAATCTTTCAGCAAACATTCAAACCTACCCGTCGGGAAAAAAAAAAATTTGACGTGAAAAAAATTAGGTACGTAGTGCTCAAACCACCAGGAAGGATAGGTGGAGTCCATTATTCAAGTAAAAGTTTTCACTATTGGCCGAAAAGGCAAAACCCAACTCTTTCTGTGTCTCTTTAGTATTGAGAATTCAAACAAATATGAGTAGTTTTCTTGGGCCACTGGTCTGCGATCCTGAGTACCATGTGTCGTACCTAAAATGCCATGTTTACATTTCAAACCAATCACACACTAAACTTTAATGAATTAAATATTTAAAATGCCATGTTTACATTTCAAACCAATAACACATAATAGGGTGTAGAGTTTTCAATTGCCATCCATTTAATCTACCAATAAATAAGTAGCAACTAGCAAAACGTAGGGTTTTTAAAGAAATGAACAAGTCAACAAATAAACCATAAGTCAGCAGTCCCCAAATGTCAACAATTTTTGGTCACACCAACAAGTTAGTAGCACTGGTCAATATTATCCTGAAAAAACCAAGATTTCGTACACAAAACATGAGATGCAATATTGTCCTAATTCTGAGCATTTTCTCATGCATGTACTGCGTGCAATCTGTTTTTTCTTCTTGTCATGCACAAACCCTAGTTATCTTGTACTACTCAAGCAAGGTCAGCAGACAGTAGATCGAAATCAGGATCGTCTTGCTTCGGAAAATGGCAGTTTCTTTAAGTTAAGCTTCTTGAGTCCTGGTACTTCAAGCGCTTCCGGTGATACCAGCGATCGTTACGTGGGACACAAAGCTTCCAATAAGTCATCCGGATGCAGTGTGGGTGGCTAATTCGAAAACTCCGCTCAGTGATTCATCAGGTGTTTTTACTTCGGAGAGTGATGGAAAATTGAAGATTGTGTATGGTGGAGGGCAGATACCCGTATTAGATACCAATCAAACAGTTTGAGGTAATGTGACTGCTACTTTTCTAGGTACCGGAAATCTTGTGTTACAAGAAATTGCTTCCAGTGGAGCATTAGGAAGCGTTTTATGGGAATGTTTTGATCATCCAACACACACATTTTTGCCACTGCACATTGGTACCTGCATTTAATAACGATGTAGGGTGTGTTAGCAGATGGCCAACAGATAGCAGTTAAGAGATTTGCAAGAAAATCGGGACGGTGACTAGAAGAATTCATAAACGAGATTACACTTAATAGCTGTACTTCAACGCAGCAAACTTGTTCGGATTCTTGGTTGTTGCATTCAAGGAGAAGAGAAGATTCTGCTCTATGAGTTCCTGACGAATACAAGCTTGGATGGCCTTCCTTTTCGGTTTGTCCACAACTCCTTTCGAATCCAAACACTCCCTTGTTCCATCTTCCCCTGCATCTGTAATTTGCTAAGCATGCTATGTATGAATTTCAATAAACTGCAGATTCGACTAAAGGGAAGCGTTTAGATTGCCAATAACGCATGAACATCATCGAAGGGATTGCACAATGAATTCTCTATCTTCACATGTATTCTACAGTTAGAATCATACACACAGATTTCAAGCTAGCAAAATTTTACTTTACGAAAATATGAATCCTAAACACGAAGCGTAAACGATTGCAGGTTTCTTTCCTCTATATTCCACCCACGTAGTGCCACTGAGATAAGGACTTGTATGGCACGGGTTACAGTGATATTTTGTACCAATAACATAAAAATATGTGTTAATTTCTCACCACGTGTTCTTATATCATTAGCACGGAACACCAATGTGACAGTATACCCGTGCCATAAAAATTACTCTCAGTCACAAAACGCTAGTGCTTTATCCTTACATTCACGGTCGTATGTTTGATTTCTCCTTCTTAATATCTTAATTGCCACTTAATACTACGATTTAGTGATACTTCTTTTCACTTGTAAGTGAGAAGTCTTAAATTTGATTCTCGCCAAATACGAATTTAAATCACACTATTATTAGCTAATTCTGAGGTTTAGATCACTCTTCAATCTTTTGGTATAGATAATATCATATGTAAAAATAAAAAATAAAAAAATTAGTCTTATCCGCGTAACAGTTTAAAAAAGTCAACGGGAAATGAAATATGTCAAAATAAACTGCGCTTTGGCTTGTACTACTTGTGTTTAGCTCTTTTATTGTGCTAGTGTATCAACTTTGGCCGTATCTTAGAATCTTCCACTAATGTATTCATAAAGGTTGTGATTTTCACACATCCTTAACTACTTTTTTCACATTTCTTCTTATTTTTTAATACTTAATTGGTAACTTACTATTTAATATTTCATATATACTTTTTTTACTTTTTGATGGTAATTAATGAAAGATTAAATAGGAAGGGGTATATATGGAAGATTAAATAGTGGGATACAAATTAAGTATTAAAAAATATGAAGAGATGTGAAAAAAGTAGTTAAGGATGTGAAAATCACAATCCTATTCACAATTGTGTTTCGTTTATAAATACTGATATTATATCTTAAAATCATAAACATGTCGTCCACACGTGTGCTCTCTAGTAGAAATTTAGGCCATTTGACCTAAAAAGTTTGCCTATGAACGCGAATTTGAAATATAAAATGACACCACCTTCATTGGAGATCTTTAGATTTTCCAGCAATCAAGAATAAATTAAAAAACAATTAATTAATTAATTAATTAATAGTATGAATTTAAAACGAGTAATGGGTAGGGCCTAGTTCATGACTTTGAGGAACCTTCAGCTGCGATCATGACTGGCTAATAATTTTAATAATTTATTCTAATTAAAAAAGAAATTGAAGAACAAGTCAACAAAATCCTTTCAAATTTTCAACGAATTGCTGGACACAAGTCTGCGCACATATCAAATTTGTACAGCTAAGTTCAAAAGATTGGACAAATTAGAAAAAGTCAGAGGAAAAATCTTCAATTTGCAGGCCATTCAAGTTACAAAAGCTTATCTGCAAAAAATTCGTAGAGAGACAGAATATTGTAGGCGATGGCTGCACAGGGAAGCAGGAGGCTTCTGTTTTTCTCGTGTTTCTTCCTGCAGTATCTTCTCTCTTGTTATGCGGAAGTAGTGGTGTACACGCTCAAGCAAGGCGACCAGCTACGGGACCAGGACGCCGATCATCTCGTTTCTCCGCACGGTTACTTCAAGCTGGGGTTCTTCAGTCCCGGTGCTTCGAGTGACCTGGGTGCCTACGAGCAATCGATTCTTGGGAATATGGTACAGCAAACTACCAAATCATCCCGATGCGGTGTGGGTGGCAAACCCTGAAACTCCGGTCGTGGATTCGTCTGGAGTGTTTATGTTGGATAGTGATGGGAAAATGAAGATCAAACATGGTGGAGGGGAGATTATTCTGTGGGATCACAATCAGACAGTTTCCGGTAATGTGACTGGCTATATGATGGATACCGGAAACTTTATGTTAAGGGAAGTAGCATCGGATGGAACTCCCGGAAAGATTTTGTGGGAAAGTTTTGATTATCCATCAAACACATTGTTACCTGGAATGAAGTTAGGCTTGGACTTTAGGACCGGGCGTAATCGAACAGTTTCTTCATGGTTCAGCGGTCAGGTGCCTACGCCAGGTGCTTTCCGGCTTGGTGTGGATCCCAATCGCACCAACCGGTTAATCATCTGGCGGCGAGACGTTGTATACTGGACCAGTGGGATCTGGGAAAGTGGAAGTTTTCAGATGGCCCCTCAACTGACAAGCAGGGTTGATTTGTTCGAGTTCTCTTTTGTTTCAAATGCAGAGGAGAAGTACTTCACTTATTCTGTCAAAGACAACTCTACTCTTTCGAGATGGGAACTCAATACTTGGGGCCAACTCTTGCAGTCGATTTTAGCCTCAGACGGTACAACATGGAACACCACAGCCACAGGTCCATGTACGTTCAACCCAGACTATCCGGATGCAGTGTGCATAAAGCAGACGACCTCTGAATGCAGGAATGGTTCCGAGCTATTCCTACCGATAAAAGGCTACTTAATTGATGCTCAGTTGACATATAATGATAGTAACCCTAACTTGGATCTTAGCGACTGTCACGCAATTTGCTGGAGGGATTGCGCCTGTATCGGCTACGGACCTTTCCATCCCAATGGGTCTGGATGTCTGTATATGAGAGAAGGAGCACATTTTGTCAAGAATAATTACTTTGGAGTTAATTACCTCGTTACCATAGCAAATAATAGCAGAGGTATGTATGGCATGACTAATGCTGAGTTTATCTAATCCACCTATGCACCTTGTCAATCTTCTATCCTTTAGTTCATGCTATTCGGGACACAGACATGAACCTCGTAACGATAATGTCTTTCGTATCTATGTATTGGCTATAGCTCTCAACCACTTCAAGTAATTAATGCTAATTTGGTGGTTCGGTACAGATGGAACACCTACCGAAGGAAGTAAAAAGAGCAAATGGTGGATATGGTGTATCGTGGGGATTATACTTGCAGCGGCAGTGCTACCTTTGGGCTACTTCCTCTATACAAGGAAAAGAAAGTCTCAACACGTGCAACAAACTGGTGAGAAGAAACTGTGTAGGATTTTGTGGCTGTTAATTTATGAATTGCAAGTACCTTATGAACCTATTGCAATCACTGGCTTGCAGACAATGCGGAAACAATCCAAGAGCAAGGGTTACTTGACTTGGGATCTCAAATCAGCGGAATGCGTGACATATTCAAACTCAAATTCGGCAAAAGCCGGCGGCTGGAATTTAAGATGTTCACTTTTCCTGAATTAGTGGCTGCAACAGATGACTTCTCATTTGCCAGAAGGCTAGGAGAGGGTGGTTTTGGACCGGTTTACAAGGTAAAATCTAAATTTATCAACTAATGACTATCTGGGAAGTTGATATCTGACAATTGAAATTTTTGTAGGGTGTATTACCAGACGGGCAACAGGTAGCAGTAAAGAGACTCGCAAGACATTCAGGACAAGGACTAGAAGAATTCATGAATGAGATAACACTTATAGCTGAACTTCAACATAGTAATCTTGTTCGGCTTTTGGGTTGTTGCATTCAAGGAGAAGAGAAGATTCTGATCTATGAATACTTGACAAATACAAGCTTGGATGCCTTCCTCTTTGGTTTGTCCATAATTCCTTTCAAATTCAAAGACTCCCATCTTCCCCGAAATCTGTAACCCTACTAAGCATACTATGAATTTCACATTAACTGCAGATTCCACTAGAGTGTATCTCTTAGATTGGCAGAGGCGCATCAGCATCATTGAAGGGATTGCACAAGGACTTCTTTATCTTCATAAGTACTCTAGAGTTAGAGTCATACACAGAGATCTGAAAGCTAGCAACATTTTACTAGACGAAAGCATGAAACCTAAGATATCAGATTTTGGAATGGCCAGAATCTTCGCACAGAATGAGTCCAGAGCAAATACGAATAGAGTTGTAGGAACATAGTAAGTTTAGAAAGCATAAATATTTCATAATAATGTCACCTAAAATTTATACACTTTCTTATATGAAATATGAACGGTTTCCTAATTTTGTATGATGATTTTATGCAGTGGCTATATGTCTCCAGAGTATGCCATGAATGGCATTTTCTCTGAGAAGTCTGATGTATACAGCTTTGGAGTTTTACTGCTGGAGATCGTGAGTGGCAGAAAGAACACTGTTTTCGTTTCATCTACTAATCTCAGCCTTATTGAACTTGTAAGTGTTATAAAGATAGATCGAAATTAGCATTCAGTTTCAATTAGAGCAGAAACACTCACATGGTGCATCAAAATTTAATTGACTGCAGGCCTGGGGTTTATGGCAACAAGGTGACTGTCTAGAGATAAGGGACCCATCAATGGACTCATGTCCAAAAGACGAAATTTCGAAATATGTTCATGTTGGTCTGCTATGTGTGCAAGAACATGCAGTGGATAGACCTACTATGTCGGAAGTAATATCCATGCTCACAAGTGATGTCATGTTTTTACCAGATCCAAAACAGCCCGCATTCTATGTCTCAAGAAGTGAATACGGATCATCCCAAGCTGCGATAAGGTCGGATATGGGTTCTTCAAATTGTGTATCTATAACTGTAATGGAACCTAGATAACAACACCAACTTCACGTTCCATTAGATAGTATTCATCATTCAAATATGAATTTTACAAATGTAATGCGCGGGGGAAATCCCGTCGAGTTTAGGAAGTTTTCGGATACATTCTTGCCACAAAAGGCTATTTCTTTATTTCTTAATGAATATATATAAATTCGTGAAACTTTATGTGAGCTTTGGAGTAAAGTAAAGGGTACACATTTCATCGAAAAACAATCAAAATTCGATATCAAACAACTCGATAAAGATTAAGCATAATCCGTTCAACTCATACAGTGGGGTGGGAAAGCACTTAACTTAAACCTACAGCAACACTACAAACAGAAAGACCATAAATTGAATGCAGAGACGCACAGATTAAATATTGTTCTTATCTGGGTCGATCTTCTCAGGAGATTCCTCCTCCTGCTCTTGCTCCTCTTCTTCTTCCTCCTTCTTCTCCTCCTCGTCTTCGTCTTCTTCCGGCGGGTCATACGGCATAGGAGGCGGCAGAGGCGTCTTCATAGGACTGAACTGCGGAAAAATGTCAGGCCTCCGCCCCGGCTTCGGTCTCTCCCACTCCTGCAACACAATTCCGAAAAACCAAAAACTAATTAGCAACCAAAGTTCCAAACCCAAAAACACGGCAGAAATCGAGAGGAGGCGGAGGAGCACGCTTACAATCGGGAAATCGAGAGGGTTGCGGCGGGTGAGCTTCTCCTCATCCGGCGCCATACACACCACGTGACTCCTCCGATGCTGACGAGACTCGAACGACAACGCGGAGGACGGAGACGACGAGCTTACTAGGGATAAAGAAGAGTGCTTTCGTCTCCAATTCGACCAACTGCAACTAGGAGATACGCAACTCAGTGTTGAGAGGCAGCTCGTCGCAATAGCCATCACTTCTCTTCTGTTTTCAGCTGCTTCTTCTTCCTTGGGTCTTTGCGATTGGACTTCCGGTTTTTCAAGTTGCAGACGGCTCCAAGGCTATAGCAGTAATTTCAGTAGTATAGAACAGGCCAGGCCGCGGCGCAACCGCCTTACCCACACGCTCTCAGCCGCTACCTCTTCCTCTACCTCTCTTTTATTTCTCCGTAACAACCATTGATTGTCTCACCCTTTTTGATCAATTTATTATCTTTAGCCCGACTAGAACAAATTCCACAGCCCAATAGTTTTAAATGAAAGGCCCAACAACCTATTGGCCCATTAGGGTTGGGTTTTCTTTTGATACAAGCCGAGTTGCAGAATAGAAATTTGCTCACATGCTGTTTCCTTCAAAGATAAACGTTCTTAATCACTTTTAACTACAAAGCGCTTTGCTTTAATTACGACTGTGGCCTACGCCCTCAATTAATCGAGGTGCTATCTAATTCTCTCTCTCAATAACCGCTTGTGTGCCTTGGAAAAGATAAGTTTTTTTTTCTTTTTCGTATGAATTTTTATCAATGACACAAAATTTACTAAAAACGAAAAGATGTTTTTGTCTACAAACAAGGGAACTTTTGCCAAGTTTGTGGGTAAAATGTCCAGCTGTTTTCAGGTGAATTGGAACAATTAGCATTCTGAGTAGCAAGTAAGAGCACAAAATTTGGTAAGGACAATCATACGGCTTGATTGATTTGGAGTCCAAAGACTGTCAAGTTCTTACTCTCCACTTTCCCATGCGCTTTCTTGAAGGCACTGATATAGTCATCGCAGGTGTACTCCTTTCCTCATCACTACTTTCACTATCCAGCACAATCACTGCCTCAGCCTCACACATTGCCAATTTTTTACCTTCCTTTGCTTATTAATCCCTGCAGCAATCCCACTATTGTAATCTTCATCAGACTGTTGCTTCTCATCCCGCTTCAAATTCTGTTGCTTAGGAAGGGCCTTGGATGGATATGAAGAGAGACTCCGGGGCTGCAGAAGAATGTTATTATTGTTGTTCTCTTGCAAATGAGCCATCTCACATTTTGTATGATTCTCAGTCACCTTTGGCGCCACATTCTCCTTGTTAGCCTTTCCATGTGCCTCTGATGAGCCTCTGGATCCCAACGAAAGCTTCTTGCCAGCTAAGCAAAGCTTCTTGCAACTTATTCCAACGGAGCCATTTCCCATTCCATCAATCAAATCTTTATGTGGTTGTGAGTAGATGCTGTCAAGAGCTGGTGCCGCTGACAAAGGCTCAGACAACGCATTGGAATGGGATACTGAGGGCAGCAGTTGAGGGGTAATGAACTTTTTATCGTTGTTTTCATCAAATATTTGGGATGTGTTTAAAGAAGCCAATGACTGCTTGTTTTCAGATAGACGCAGCCTCTTTGATCTCACGACTGTGTTGTCATCTATCAATTTACCATCTTGACTCTGATGAAGTCCTTGCTTGTAACTGTTTCCTGATTGCAGCATGGGAAGGTTTTGCAGTTTACGTGATGAACGGTGAGTTGGCACCACATACTCCATACCATCACTTTTCTTCTCGGGTTGGCTGAGGGCTTCTAGTGACAATTTTCGTCTGCTCCCACATATCTTCTCCTGACTCCGACTGCACTTATCTTCCAGCAACTTTTCTGTTCCCTTGACTTCTATCTTGTTTCCGAAATTAGAGGCAAAGAGTTGCACTTTTGGCACTTCATTTCCTTTCCCGCAAACATCTCTTTTCTGGGTTTGGCCTGAAGACTCCAGTGACAGCTTCCTGCTACCCCCAATTACCTTCTTATCACTCACAGCAGAATCCTCTGCTTCATGTTTTGACTCATGGATTGAAGCTTTAACTTCCAGTAGCACCTGAGGAGGGAAAAACAAACCAAAAAGAGGTTACAGTTCTAATGGATCCTATCCGAACAGTAAACTTTTCAACCAAATAAGTCTTAAGATAAATTGATAATACCGTGAGTGGATTTGCGCCGCTTTGAGGTTGAGATTGAGAGTCACAAACACTCCCAGAAGCAGAAGCCTGGGCATATTTCTGAGTCATAGATCGAGCTTTCTGGTCGAAAGCTTGCCTGTTGTATTTGAATTCCCTACTCTGCACATGCAAAAAAATATAATGTTGGTACCCCCCAATGTCCCAACTCCTAGGGATTCCAACCATACATGTTCATCTAGAAATTATAATAGCAGGACTTGTTGGAAATGTATCGATAACATGTTTTGGTTTGTTTTAAATGATATCAGCACATTACCGATGCATTTGACAGTCCGACTACATACACATGACAGCATATAACATAATCATCACTTTAGATACTCACCGCTTCACACATGAGGCCATCATCTGGATTGGGTTCACTCAATAACAACCCAATGCTTGTAAGCACAGTTGAAATGTTCAATGATGGTTGCCATGCCCCCTGCTTAAAACGATATTAATTAAGGTTTCGCAAATAAGCTTCTCAAATCTCCATTTCATAGTTAAAAACACTTAAATCATTGTGTTAAAGAAAAAAAAACCCTTTTGCATCCAACTGTGATTGCAACCGATCGTTGTTCCACCAACATTAACAGTTGATAAACGAGCGGTATGTTTCTATAGTTCAATCATTGAAGTGTTCCTTGCTAACATTAATAGTTGTCGGGACTATGCTAATTGAGTATCGTAACTAACCCCTAAGCTTCATTATAAATTGATGGATGAACAAGACAGAAAATTTCACTTGACAACCTAAAAATTGACCGCTAAAAATTTCCCAATTAGCAGCATACATGAACATTTTCATTGGGGTTACTCAAGTATTCACTCACCTTCGGAGGAAGATTGAGAATGTCGAGGCAAATCCGGCCTCCGGTGTCGATATTCGGGTGGTAAATTGGCGTCGCAAATGTCACACTCGGAGGCTGAAACGGGTACCTGAAAATCATAAAATTTTGTAAGACCCCAAAAAAATTCATAAAATTCCCAAATTTTGAAACAAAAAAATAATAAAAATTGGCAATTTTGAACCGACCTCTCGGGTATCTGAATCTTAATGTTGAAGAACCCTTCGGCGTACACGGTTCCTTCTGGACCTTTGATCTCTGTAAAAAAAAAAAAAAAAAAAAAAACGTTTTCGTTATTGAATTCCTTTTTTTTCCTCGGAAACCAAACGTGGCGTTAGAAAAATCCGAAAAGGGGAGGAACTCGGAAGCTTTACGGGCGTCGATGGTGGTGAGGGAGGAGGAGGAAGCGAGGAGAGGGAAAGAGGCGCCCGGCGGAGGATCAGTGAGGAGGAGCTTGAGCTCCTTCTGCAGTCGGAGGTTAAGCCGCGCGGCTTGAGCCATTGCTGCGGTTGCTTTGGCTTCCCTGCGAATTTTGGGTACGATGGAAAATGGAGGGATACGGGGGAAAGCGCGGGCAGGGGAAAATTTGGGGAGGAGATATTTGATCCGGACCGTTCAGATTTCCGTTTTTGAAAATGTATATATGGACGGCTATGACTCGGCCATCTCAACTTGATCCTAGCATTTTTCACAGAAAGTTAATTTTTACACAATATTCCACCACCGGTATGTGCTTTGGAATTGGTGTTTGAAATTTGAACTTGCAGAAGGAAGGGAGAGGAATAAATTAGATCAACAGGTTACAAAGTAAGTATAATTTAAGCAAGCTTTCTAAAAAAGCTACACAGAAATATAAAATAAAAAAAACGATATTATAAGTCTACAAACATTTGACATAGTGAATTTGATAGTGAATCGTGAGATTTTTGCCTTACTTTAAAACTTGAAAATGGCTTCACGTTGAAGAGAAATACGACCTGTATAGAATAAGTATAATGGCACAACATTTATGTAGGCGTCCACTTTTATATGTCCCCAAATTTCAAATAAAAGACCAATTTATGATCATGGGGTATTATAACATATAATGTTGGGTGATTAGGATTGGATTGATTTTGGATTGAAAATTAGAATTTGATTGAAGGAATAACATTGACTATTTGAGCATCTCCAAAGGAGATGTCAAATTTTAAACATCAAAATGATAGTTGATAGCTTATGTGGCAATTTGACATTTTGTACAATATTTTGCTTCATCCGATATGTTAAACAATAATGTCATTTAAGAAACTTTTTTATCTTTTTGTGGAGTCCAATAATTAAGCCAACCAATCAAATATTTCAAAAACGTAACAACATTTATTATATATTACATTAATCTATTAAAAAATTATTTAATGAATTTGACATTTGCTGTCAAATTTGACAGCAAAAGGCTTTGCTTCAAATGACTCAAAGCCACATAAGAAATTGAAGGCTCGGTTAGAAAGAGTTTGCTGCCATTTTTTTACTGTTGTAGGCCTACGTGTCAATTTTGAAATCTCCTCTAAAGATGCTTTTTGTAGTTTAATTCTCACGTTAACGATTCAATAATCAAAATTTAACTTTTTTATTATTCATAAAATACACCGTGACATAATAAATTTCATCCAAAATGCAAGTAAGCAATCCTGATTTATCTTTTACTGCCAAGCCAAGGATTGAATTAAGCTAATCCTGACCGTCAAACGAGGCCATAAAGCATAGACCCGCGATGTAGTGGATCGGACCATGCATCAATGACGTGAAGACAACCAAACCCCGCCCGAGGCAACCGACCACGTGTCCCCGCCACTCATCCTCCTCTTCCTCCTTCCCCCCTGCCCCTTCTCGATAGCTGCCCGTTCATTGGGGTCGATACAGTTACAGGCCTAGAGTCGACGAAGATAAATGCGGTGGGGAGACAGACGTCGAGATCTGGTTCGTCAATGCACCACCACCACCGCCAGTACTCGGACCACTTCACGGACTCGCCGTCCAAGTGGCTGCAGTCCCCTTGTCTCTCACACTCACAGGTCCTCTATTAATTTGATTATCTTTTCAAACTGGCCCCTCGTCAACTCGAAATTTCATGCCGGGTCCCTGATAATGCGAAGCTCTCTGTTTTGAATATTTTGCAGGACTTCGAGCTGTACGCGACGAGAATGAGCAGGCAGAGTCATAGAAACGGCAAATGAACGATCGCCACCGGAGTCTTC